TCATTTTGGAGTTAAGATCGCTTTTGAGTATGAAATGCTAAAAATGAACCAATTCGTACAAGTTTTCAGCAGAAGGATGTATTTAAGTATTGCATTATGATTCGCCAAAACTTACATACAAATTCTGCAAACTATGTAAGTCTTATTTATATTTGTTAACTTTTGATATATAGAAATAATAATGGGTATATACTGGTAGTCGACTTTGTAAATATAAATTCTAGACTATCAACTCATTTCTCTAGTATCTTCCTAGATTTTAGATGAATAGTTATTGTAATCTTAAAACATTACGGTATATGGTGATGGATGTTTGAATGCGAATGGGGGTGCAACTTACTTGAAACAGTGCTTTTACGAGATGTTGCTCCTATTGTCAATTGTGTGTAACGTTAGTTTCCTCCATCATTAGATGTGAGTTCATTCTGTATGCTTATTATCTATGTAGATGATTTCCCAGCATAATCAACCCAATAGGTGGGCAAACGTTTTTTGTCCCTATAGCTATAATGACCGAAATCAGCTGAAGGCGTACTGTCAAACATCTAGGCCATTTATTTTTATTCCATGAATTCGGCGAGGCATTAAATTAATTTTTTTAATAACAAGCTAAGCAGATATTTAGGTCACCAAAGTGACACTGAAGACACATTCGGTTTGAAAGAGCTATATAGCACTTTTAATTACGTATCATTTAACAACTTCCTCAGAAGGCAAATAAGGAAAAACGCCATAATGCTTAGGTGAATCCATATATTTGACTGCAGACTTAGATGGGGAAATATGATACCTCTAAACTGAATTTCTAGGATGTTTCACATCAGATCGTACCTTAATCTGATAGTAACGCTTAAATAAAGGGTTTCAAGCTAGTGGTGCCTGTTGAAAGCAAAATAATAATTCTAGTGCCACATTTTTGTAGGGATATTTAAAAGAGTTATTCATCACTGCAATACTGAGACAAATCAAACCATTTAGTCACTTTAACTATGTCCCTGAGACTGAAAAACTTGCCGTCGAATGATGGTTTATCTGAACTTACAGTGGTTTTCAACAAGCAATTACCATAGTTAAGCAACAGATCGTAGAGTTTGACATGTTGATCGTTTTCTGTTTTTTGTGCTTTCTTTCCACGTCTTACTGTATACATCCATGACTGATAAACAACAAGTTTCCCTTTACGCTATATTAACAAATTTGAAGAGTCTAGGTACAATATGTGGTGGAGTCAATGAAGCGTGTTGTTCTCATGTGCGGATAGATAAAGAAAACAGTACAGTTTCATAGAATCGGAGATTTTATGTGGTGTTTGTGAATTCACTACATCGCTTATCGTAAATCGCAGTAAAATCACCCTAATCTATATGTGTGAACAAATGAACCAAATGTCCCTTTTCAATGTCTTATTCTTGCTCGATGAATAGTTAACTACATTCATGTCATCCGAGTAAGAGGTTTTCAGGGGCTTCATTTTTTAAAGCTTGCTTACGTTTTCCACTATGATCAATGAGATTTGAGATTTTTCATAACACTAATAAGCTTTTGAAATGGAAACAATTTGTTTATTCATATAGTGATAGTTCTAACTTATACAAATAACATTCAAACAAAAACGTTCTGGATGGAGTTTTGTTCTCTGATCTGGATGGTTTGGTCGTGCAGCTTCCATCGTTCTTCTGAACGACATTATCAGCACAAACTTCAGGTTAAAGTGAAGTATTCGAATTTCCCTATATATGGTTAACAGCTTGTCCTATACACCTAGATGTTGATTGGTCCTTGTTGACCTTCTTCATTTTTGAATTAGCATTCCTTTCGGTTCATTAAAATAAAAATTCCTGCCATTTTTTCTAAGTCGTTCTTCAGCTATATTTCAGGAAGTGATGGATAATGTTGTCAGTGACCTGGAAGTATTAAACTTTATGAAGATGATCTTATTATACTTGATTATGGCATAGAAGCTCCAAACAAATTCAACATGTTGGACAATCATCACAATCATCCCTGTCTATTTTACAAAGCAGGACGCGTTATCCACTACTCCTGATGGTATTTTGTTTGGGAATGATCATGCTGTTATTTATCTTTCAATACGTAAATCTGTACTTGAAGTTCTGGGTAGAAGACATTTGGGTAGTGAAGAAATGAAATCCTTGCAAGGCTCATGTGTTGGTGGCCGAAGGTAAATCTAGATATATGTCGTACGGCAAACAATTGTGGAAGATGTCAGGGGTCGAAAAATCATCCTTCGAAGTGGACTCCATGGTCCGTGTCGTCTGTGGCTTGTCAGAGATTCCATAGAGACCATTGTGATCTCTTTCCCGACAATTACTATGCACTCGTTGTTCTTCTTTTTCTAAGTCGGCCGATGTATCCACAAATTCAAGAACTTCTGACTTCACAATCTAAGTATTAAGAGAATCGTCCAATCAGGTTGCGGTTCCTATGGTATGAGTGACTGATATTGGCTCTCGTTTTATTCCAGACGCAGTCATTATTTAGTGTAGACCTTTATTTTTGTAACAGTTTGATCGCATGAATGATTGTTATTGAAATATACACCCCGGATACCCTCGTATATAATCACGAACTTAACTCACGTTAGTAAATAAGGGAACTAAGTCAAATACAAGTGTAAGTTCCGAATAAGTATATTCCACACAGTTGTTGACCAGGGTAGACAATCAAGTAAACGAAGAGAATCGGAGAAGGCATGTGAGCCAACTAGATATGTGGTGAGCAGGATAACGGTTTACTGCACACGCCCATATAAAAGTAGTCATAGTTATAAGCGAATAACTGAAGAGTTCAAAATGTGACCCAGGAAGAATGAATAAATTAATCAGTCTGAAAGGCAGAATATCCCATGTAAAACTGACATATTAGCGGTTTCTTTAACTGTCTGGTTTAATTGTATAGGGTGCAGACATGTATTCGCTGCTCCCAGGCACACTTTCTTCAATAGTCAGGCAGAAAATTTCGTCAGAACACTGAAAACCGCTGTTTATTCCATTCCTGCTTCGACATTTAATGAACTGATGAGGAATGCGTACACGTTTCTATCGCACTATATAAATGCTAAACATTCTGTAACGAAAGAAATTCTACCGAAGCTATTAGAAGGAAGGGTTTTTAGTTCGCATATTAGGCGCTTAGAGTTTTCAGAAGTTGCATATCATGCAAAATGGTCCTCAACCAGTAACGAGAACTGTGGTCATGAATGATGGAGATCGATAACCTGACTTGCAAATATCTATGACTTATGTACACACAACCGACATATTGATCAAAAACACTTCCAGGAACCAGGTGAGTCTCTTCCGGTTTCGGTTGGTAATTCCAATGCTAACGAGTACATTCCCTGTCATAAAGAGTCCACATCCCATACACAGTCTGACAAACAAATGATGAACCCCCGCAGAAGAGATACAATCCGTTACAAAAATTTGGATTTCAATTTGGGCTGTTACGATATGTATATGCATATATTTATTGCACGACGAGATTCAACATACATAGTTATTGTAGATATGAAGCACATCTTTAATCTTGATAAGCGTGACTATGTGGAAGTTCACACATAGTCACCATGCCATATCTTGTTATTCTATAGAATAAGTAAGACAATTCGACTAGTTTCTAAATTATTAGAACGTATTCAAGCAAAAATATATGTAGATCACCAACGTTGATGATCTCTGTCGAGTGATTGGGGGTGTGACCAACAACTGACTTGGAATTCGCACCTTGCGGTTAGCATCTAACGTGGACTACCCCTTCGACATTTCAAAGAACTAAGGCTGCTTCAGACACCGTATAACACAAAGGATGTTAATACGGAAATATATTGGTAACAATGAGTACAGAAAAGCTAGTGAAACCACCAACGCATGGACCAGTCCAAGAACAACTGTCGGATGATTTGGCTAGGGCTCAGTGACATTTCACTGACCCTACATATACATTGGTTTCTGGCCGCTAATACTGTATCCTTCTTCGTCGACAATATATTGAATCTACACTTTTCTTCTGAGTACAATATTTTAGGGAGCTTAATCTCAATATGATCATACTATGCTACATCAAGTAATTTTACGATTTTTATGCAAAAGTTGAACAAGGTAAGTGGGCAAAAAAGGTCTTCATCAAAGTTTTAATAGCTAATTTCAGGTAATATAATACCAATGGAATATATTGAGATCGGTCATGTGAAATAACCTAGTCAAATAACATTTCTTTTGTGACTTCGGCTTCTTTGAAATGGTAACACAGAAACCCTCGGAAGAAGCAAAAACTTGTATTCTCCAGAAAGTTAAAAAAAGTGCTTTTTTCCTTGACAGAAAATGTTCGCCACTTCATAATCTTGAATACTTAAGGTTTTTTTCAGAATGAACTGGAGTTGTTCGAGTGGCATGGCTCGGCCATGCAGGCGTGGTCTCTGCTGAATGTTACCTTATATCTTCTATTCATATTAAATATATTGTTCTTTCTCTAGCCTAACCTTGTTCTACATCATGTATTGGTGATTGATACGATACAGTGAGTTGGTGTAGTCGATGGTGTGACTTCCACGTAAGATCTTATAGATTAGGCAGTTATATCATGACAAATCTAAAAATTTAGGATTAGGTCTATTATTAGAGCAGTGCTAATATCATAGTAGACCATAGTTCTACATTGGTGAGCCCAACTAAATAAACGCAACCTGTTATTGTTAATCCTTATTTCCACCTTAACCTCCTCAATCGGTTTTTATTTTTGTAAACCCAGTATTCTAATAGTCCTTTGATTAATGGTCACATATATTATCGTAATGTTATATTGATTAGTCCTCATGACAAACTAGCTCAATCGATAATTAAAGTTGATCATCTATATTAACTAATTAGCTTTGATGGTTCGTTAAAAAGCTTTAATAGCATTTACCTGCTTCAGCGACATAGACTTGTTTACACATCAAGCTCTAGCAAATATGACCTGTTAATAGCATAAAAAATATACATTGACCATGGTTGTCATGACAACGAGTATGAAACTTTTTGAAACTATGTGACACTGTCTACTTTAAAAATCTATCATTTATTTCTTGTTCCTATGTGGCTTGAGAGAAACGCTAAGAACGAAGTATTGTTCACAATTTTCGATCAGTTTAGTCTCAGTTTCTTTTAAGTAACTCAAAGAACAATTTGCTAAAGAAGAATATTCACCAGATTAATCATGGTAATTGTATGAATGACAAATTAACACAGAAGCAAAAAGCATTTGACTCAAGTGAGGTTTAATTTTTCTTCATTTATCATGGTTTTATTTGCTGAATTTCCAGTTTGAGAATTTCTTCTTGATAGTTCTGAATACGTTCACCTAATTTTCAGAGCCATTACTTCAAAGGGATAAAAAAGCTGATGAAAAAAAGACAAAATTAGCGAGTTTTGCAATATTACTTTACTCATAAACACAAAAAAAGGAGTGTACCTTGAAAACTATATTGACCATCATCTCAAATATTTTCAGTAGCTCATCTTCGGTGCTAATTAAGACTGAAAAATATTCTCTGAAATAATTTTTTTTTCAAACAGACCATCTGCCATTAGGGGGTGTGTGTAAATGATAAAGAGCAGAGACGAAGGCTTGAAATGGTTGTAAGTATTTTATGGGACTAGTTACGAGGACCGTAATATATCATATCAAGACATTCAGTAAACTTCAGTCCTGGAAACACATTATACAATTTTTGATGCATCACCACAGTGTGTCATCTGCTCATCCCAATAAGTGGTCTGTATCATATCGGAGACTTGTACCAAATTCTGAGTATACGCTACAGCATATCAAGTGATATTGTATGTAAATGTTGAGAAGAGGAATATAAAAGCACCGTCATTATTCAGTGACTAAGATGTCTTTAGTGCAGAAAACTAAATAACTATCACTCTGAACCAAAAATTTAAAAGACTATAGCGTTTCACTAACTGCTTCACCATTAAAGGTTGTGTTGGATGTAAAATTATTCAGGGTTTAAGTTAACATTTACGTTAGCAGTTTTGACAAACTACAAAATTCTGTGACGTTTCCAGAAACAATCAGCAAACCATACGAATGTGATTCAACTTTATCACAAAAAGTAGACTTTGAATGAGTTTTGTGTTTTTCATATATTGTGTAAACAAGGGAAGTAAATAAGCGCCGCTTGTATTTGTTACGTACTAAACTGTTTCATAAAGAGAGAGTTTGTTACTTTGCATAACAAATAGAAGTATTTATTAACACTCAAGCGCTATAATTATTGTGAGTCTTACTAGACTACTTTGTTTACCAACGCAAAAATTTACTTCAGCTAGTACATATTCGTAATAAATGCAAATTTTATCATTTACTCGATAGATAAGAAGATAATGCAAAACAGGAGACAGAGACATAGGTCATGTACCCCAGGAAAATTATCCACAAATTTTCAATTTCAGAAATCTAACGAAGTTTGTTCACTAAAACATCTAAACCAGATTCGTGGATTAACGGACGGTCCAGGTAATTCCAGATGAATGCTTAACCTTTCGTACAGTCAAAATTACTTAGTCTGATACAAAAGAGATTTCATAGCCCAAACAAATGAATAGATTTTTAACCAGTCCTTAAACCGTGTGGTTAACTAATCATGTAGATATTTAAGTGCTAAGCTATAAACCTCATTTCTTAAATGTAATTTGCAGATACTATCTGCATACGTGATGTGAGTATTTAAAATACTATAAACTAAAACATCTTAAAAAGTAAAGAGCAAAATTACACGAGTATCATACAGAAATATTAGGTGAATTATTCAGTGAACACACTAAAAATTTTATACAAATAAAATACATAAACTAGAAGCACTATGTATTTCTCCCTAAACTGAAAATATATCGTTTAATGTCAATGGTAACCTTATATCAAGTTAACTATTGGTGTCAAATATTTATGCCAGCGACTTCCTAACTATCTTTTGAACCATTGACTACATTATTAACACCTGATACTAGATTACATTTCTTTCAGTTATTTAGAAAAAAATGGACAAAGTTCGTTCAACTATAGCAACATTCTAGCAACTAGAATACTTATTTATGATAACGAAATAAACAGCCGATAAATGCGGAAAAAAAGTTGATTAGAATAGCAATTGTTTACAGAACCTCCATATCATAGCTGAATGTAATTCAAATGGCTTAACTACTAATCAAATGGTTAAAATTATTTTATTAATGAGCTTAAACAGCTATCCGGATGCAAAATAGTATCAAACCACAAATAATCAAACAAAAACAAAAATAAAGCTCACAGATTAACAGCACATTTTTACTCTGTTTAGCATGTTAATATTAATGTCGATAAATAGGTCTTAAATATGAATTCGATAACTAAGGAACTTAATTTTAAATTCTAAGAAAATAAAATGGCAAATGTCTGCATTCTAAAAAATAGCATACCGGTGGATTTAAAGATAATAAGCTTGACCAAGTATTGTAAAGTGAACTGTTCATTCAAACATCTGGACATCGTTTAGCAATAAATCAGCTCATATAAAACAAACGCTTCAAAAGAATAGGACTGAATTATGCAAAGGACAATTTATTTAAAAAAATTAGTGAAATAAAATTCACTGAAGTTTAGAAACGTTTGAAAAAAATGAAAATTTTATTTTCTTTCCATTTTGATAGGCCGGATACTTGAGGAACTGCATGATTAAATGCCGTTCTATCATATCTAGGGATTAACAAGTAAACAGCCACGACCCATAAATAAATCACTTTTTCATAAAAACAAATTATCCGCAAAGATAGGCATAGACTTAGGATTCTAACCATTGATAATCAGACAAAGTCAATATTAATAGCTGGTTGAAGTTTGTAAAATTTCTAATTCTTAGTTTTATTAGGTTTTTGTTTAGCTTTAAGGTGCATTGTGAGCCAAGGAAGTGTATAGACACGTATATGGAAAAATCTGGAAGTGAGAAGAAGAAGAAGAGAAAAAGAGAATCAACGGTTCAGTTAGTACATTGGAATCGGATTACAGTGATACTAAACATAACCGGTAATAAATAGCAATGATATAAAACAAAAATGGGACAGTTTAGTGACTGAAACTAAAAGTTAGTGGAGTATACTTATGAGTACATAATAAGTAATGTCTTTCAAGCAGTATTTCACCATCACACCATGAAATAGCCAATATTGCTCAACTGAGAAACATGTTAGTCATCATGTATGCGATTTTTATGTGATTCATCTGTGAGACATCACAATTTCTAGATTAGCAAACTAATGGGTAGCATTTGAATAAATAGAAGCAAAGTTTTCAAACTGATCCGTAGCAATGAGATAGTGTAGACCACCCAGAAATTTGCGAGATACGAGTTTATTAACCAAGCGCTAAGCATGACAAGTCCTTATTCTTTGTATTAAACTGTCAGCTAATGAATTCATACAATTAAACGAATGTAGCCAAATGAAAAAGCGAAACTGTTAAAAAATACCTCTTTGGTTTCTATGCTTTGGAAGACTCGATTAAAATAAGTCAAGTAAAATATTGGAATGGCTCCACAGACATGTCCGTTCAAAAACAATTACGAATTTCAAAGTAAATATAAAAAAACTCCATGGCCTATACTTCTAAGGAAGTAATGAAGACCTATTCATCATAAGTAAAACGAAAACACTGAAAATGTGAGGGAAGCTACTGGCCAACTCTCAACCAAATGTAGATCAGTCCCTAAATAAAAACTGGAACAACGCGATTTATTGTTTTACTCATAAATGCAGTGTTAACGCCACTTGAAAACTAAGTGATCACTACTTAATACTACTGCAAAACATTATTTCAGATAATTTTCTTACCAATACATTTTTCAGAATAGTTTAAACCTGATATTCTTCAAAATATGTCAATATAGAGAAAGCTTGAACTATCCGACACTTTACGTAGCTACTGAAAACCAACTTCATATATTTTGTATAATCTGTTGCAGTGTCTACTCGGCTGTTATATTATTGGTCTCCACAACAAAATCATTCTTGTAGACAAGATATTTACAGCTCCAGTAAATTAAAAACGTCTGAAACTGGCTGATGTACTAAACATTCATCATACAACTCATTCCACTGAACATTTGTGGTGGAAGTCTTAAAGTAACTATTTTAATAAGTATTTCACCAAAAACATTATTATCGACAGGGTTGTTCATAATCACTATCAGAATCGGCTATACAGATGTACGAATATCGATAACTTCTATTGGGTAGCAAAAATAGTATCACTTATAAAAAATAAGTGATCCACAACTTCCTGTATTATAAATCACTGGTAAATGTCAAGTCTTTAGATAACTAATTCGTGTGTTCTGAAGCTAATCAGAAAAGATACTGATATTATATTGTGTTATAGTGTTTGCTTTTCTGCTATAACGACACAAATTCTAAGACACCGTTTAGAAGGACATTTTAAAACAAAGTCTATATCAACAGCTTTGTAGTCTAGCACGTGTATTGATAGTGTGGAAAAATGTTAAACTTATTTGAGAGGCTCTCATGATGAGAGGTAATGACTTCGCTTTATCCCAATTAGGACAAAATGATTATCATTTTAATTAAACTCATTAACTATTCAGAAAAACTATTCCTATTCTATAGTTTATATCACTGACTGGTCTTAGTGTGGGACCTATCAGTAGTGGTCATCCACCACTCCAGACCTTGAAGGCTCAAACCAGAACCTTCGACCCAACTGCGATCACATAACTTCCAGATCACTGATCTGGCATCCAACAGTTCGCATGTTTAATTTCAACCAATGCGCAATATCACACAACTATCTTCCAATATATTTGCTGGATAACTCCTACACATTCAAAATAGTCACACTTCACTGGTCATAGCTTTTAGCCGAAACCCCAGTATTACCTCAAAAAACTAGCCGTTAATGAATGTATGATTTATATACTTTAAAAGAAAACTTGCAGTCCGATGCTAAATGCTATTGAATAGTATTTTAAAACCATTTGACAAAAGAATTTCTTTCTATAGATGACTGCAAACAACGATCTATGAGTAATTTTTCTCAACAACTCTCAACTCAACAACTCAGTAAATCAAATAGATCAAAAGTTAGTGAGTAATTATTTTGCCAAACTTAATTCTCTTTCTATTTATTTTTCTTTTGTTATTTCCATCTATCATTGAGATTTAAGTGTTATTTGTTGATTATAACATTTAGTGGAACTTCAGACGGATATATTCCAACTAATAATCTTTTAGTTATTTTATTTTATCATTATCATTAATCGACTATGTCTTCACATATACGGATACCTTTAAATAACCGATTGTGTCATTGAATAAAGGTGAAGAGAATTTAGTGAAGACAATTTTATTTTTAACAAAATCATTCACTTAAGCTGTACATTCGTATTTACCACACAATAGCTTAAGTGAATAACATAGAGCGTCAGCACATTTTTTTTAAAAAAAAAAGAATGTTTGGGATACCATCAGGTCCTAAACATTGTAATGAATTAAGTGACTAGAGACATTTTCGGACATCAGTTTTAGTGAAACTAGGAACACAAATTGTCTTCAGACCTGTAGATATTGGGAGCATTACATCAGATGACTGACGTACAGAAGACTTATTTAAGTCACATACATTCATCTGGTTATAGCTTCTAATGTACCTGTCACCTGCAAGTTCTTTAAAGAGTTTCCATATACTTGGAGAGTTTTTACAAGACAGGAGTTTTTAAGTAAACATAGAGTTGAGACGTCTAGTTTCTAGGCTTATTAGACCATTTAGCTTACGAACTTTGATTGAGTTTTTCTCCTTGTACATTCTTTCTCTTACCCTCCGTAGTCGTTTTAGTTGTGAAGATGTAAGTCGATCAAAACTTACAAAAATGGTTTCAGTGGAACAACAAATATTAAAACAGAATTTAAGGTAACAGATGATGACATCATTAGTATTTTCCAGTGAGTCATTTGTAAATAATTCTCATTAAAATCCATGCACGCAAACAAAAGTATAAAATTTCTATGATAACTTACCTAGTAAATATACTCTGTGACGAACAGGTTGTTAGAGTTAACCAAGTCAATAACCTGAATTCTCAAACATGTCTCTAATTTAGATGGTGGTTGAAGGTAGTCAACAGGAAACCTTGCACTAATAAGAACTAAACAAGCATGACATTGATCACCACCCAGTGATCAATCAATTGTGATGTCTCTAATTTGGAAAGTTGTAGTTTCAGATCCTTTTTTTCACCTTTTTCCTTTCTTTTTTGTCATTTCGTTTTTGTTTTTGTAGAAGAGACTTGTTAAAATACCTTGTATTGATTGCTTAATTTTTTAGCTTAAACCATTAACTGGATAGTTATTTCGTCTTAGTATGTGACTCGTCAGAAGTTCACACCGACAAACCTATTTGGAATTGGATTCAGGATCTTCTAACTTTATGGAGTGTTTAGCCTTCAGGCCACTGAGTTAGCACCTATCGTTTTACGTCTTTAAAATAAATCAGTCCGCATTACTGCGTGACTGTCGTTGGATCCCAACTTAGCAGTTTGAATGTTAAACACTCCCCAGAAGATTTTTTTGAATGTAAGATTCTGAAGAGTTGCATACTAAGGCGAAACATCCATTTGTTGCGTTCGTGTTTTTAGTGACTGTCTAGTTAAGACCAGTCCTTGGTGTAAACAATAAGGTTTAGTTCTCATTCCTATTCATCACCTTTATTTATGCGACTATACAAATGGCTATTTCCTCATCTGTAAACTGGAAAATAATGTATAGAATACGTAACTAATGATCACTGCCTAACGAGACAATATTTTACTTAGTCGCAATATTGTTGTAGTTTTGATGCATAATATTTGACTGGGTGAACACAAACATATGTTGAGTATACATAATGGTTGTTCTGTAAAAATTAAAATATTCTATTGTAATCTGTTTTTGTGCACACGATCGAATATTGGTTACTCATGACGAAGAGTTACCCTTCTCAGAATAGAACATAAGTTAGTGATACATGGTTTTGGATAAATACTCATCAGGTTCTTCAGTTTTAAATTATAGTGGAAGAATCATTTCTTCACTCCTGATGGTGTCTTCTGAGTTACATGTTTTTTTTTAAGTTGAACTATCACTACTGACTTCACATTACTTCTACCATGATATATCATTTTGTGGTTCATTGAAACTAGAGTTTAAACTGATAATTTCCTGAACATAAAATAAGTAAAAGTTTCCAAATACAATAAATGTAATTGCTTTTAAAAAACAGTTCATCCATTATCAACGGCATAATTATTATGTACTACATACTACGATTCGCTTGTATCAGTTGTGTGTGTACTGTTGTATACCTATTAAAAAGCTCAGATATGAAAATATGAAGTAGTAAACACTTTGATCATTGTGATCTATAATCTTTATAACTCCTTTATAAATCCATTTTATCCTTAAGAATAATGGACTATTTCTGCCATAAATAATCTTCCATAATCTTTTCCATAATTACTTGTAATCGAAGCTTGTCAGTGATGTTCAGAACGTGTATGGTAAGACAACCGTCTACCAAACACAAATAACGGATAGAACTTAGCAATAAGTTATTTGGCTTGATGAGAACAAGACGAAATACTGGTGTATATAAAACGGCATTGTAGGCAATTAACTAAGCTATTTAGTCACGGTTCTTAACATGTCATGACATTAGTTGGAAATATGAACAATTTTTTGTCCTATCTGAAACTTCTCGATAATATGTAGTCAAACAAAGCTTGGCATCAAGTCCAGGACTTTAAAGTATCAGTGAAAACAGGGTAACTCTCAGGGATCGAGTTGAGGTACGATCGTCCTTAGTCGATTTATAATAAGGCAAAAAGTATATGATTTCACCAATAACCAAGTACTCATCGGTGATTTCGCCGATTGAACATATTTACAAGCCCTGACTTCATATCTAGTGGGACATAAGATCATTAGTAAATTAACCAAAGGTATACAAAGTATTCAACCAATATAATATGTCTATGGGTTACATGCCACATAACTAATTATCATAGAAAGATAAGAATTGAGGTCGTAAAATAAATAGCGAATGTTATTTTCTGTATATCGTATATTACTTTTGTGAAACGGTTTAATTATACTTATCGTGTAATTTTCTAATATGAACCATTATAAACATTTGGATTGTTGATGATTGTTAGTATCGAATATTAAATTGATTGGATATAAACGTTTATTACTTAAATCAATTCAGCTTAATATGACTAAGAAAAAAGATCATAATCTGTTGACTAAAGACAGGCCAGTTAAGTATTTTAATAGACAAAAAGAAACAGTTGTTTACATGATATTTTGGAATAATAAAGGAATGGATTTGGTCAAGTATTGAGCTTCAAAAATATTCATTTTATTAACTGTTGTACAAGATTCCGTGTAAGAAAACAATAAGCATTTCTATAGAAATCAGTTAGTAACATGTTTGAAATTACAAGTTTATAAATTCATGACCTTAAAAATATTTAGGCATCACAGATATAGGCAAAATAGCATGTCAGTCATTTTATATTGTATGTAATTCTCTTTAGAAAAGGTCAAAATATCTTTATTTATTTGATGGCTTAAATTATTTCCTGACTTTTATTGAATAATATAACTAAGTTATATTTAATTGTCACTTGTGGAGTTTCACAACACTATTATGGAAAACGTTTTCATTTATTATACAGTTGAAGAATAAACTACTAACCTGTTATTCCTTTTTTATGACAAATTTCTAATAAGGTTTTCCAGAGTATAACGAGTTCATTTCTATATCAATGCATCCTTTTTCAGTTAGATACCAATAAATGAATTCAATAAGTTAAATATTTCAATAAATATTACTATACTTGCAATTTAAGGGGTGAATATTTCAAGCCCCCAAATGCCCTGGTACGGCCGAGAGTGAGGAGAGTCCGCTCTCCCTCTCTAAATGCTCTCACATGGCCACGCGTATACAGCCTCTGCCACGGAAGTTCTACTCATTGCCTTCTCGTGGCGGTGGTGTTGTTTACAAAAATGAGAGGACGAAAAGCGAATGTCCGGCGCTTTAATTGGATTCCAAAACAATGGTGCAAATGGGCTCCAGTATCCTGCAGGAACAAATAGCGTATGAACCTATTGTTGGTCACCGGCTACTATGGGACTGCATCTCCTCACGATGCTCCACTGCCTTGTGGGTCAGACCTTTGGGTCAAAGGCTCGGGGTTTGACCCCCCAAGAAAACCACCTGCTCCGGTTTAGGCACCCAGGCAGTATCACAGCCCTCACACATATCAAATGAGATTTGCGTGGCGCATATATATTTGGTGCCTCCTTGTACCAATATCTATGTGTTAAAATAAAAATAATAAATAATAATGAGCATTTCACAAGATAATTGTATTCGGCGGCCTGCTTGATCATCTGGGCTACCTGTTCCTGCCATCTAGATATTTCAACAAGTTATCTGTTTTTGTTTGTTTTAATATATCATTATGTTTATTAATCGCATAACCTATTCTGCTGCGTTTCTGAAAAGTGTACAACCTTTCGTTGTCAAAGCTACAAAAAACTCAATAAGAGACAATGTGGTTGCTGGCAATATACAACGAAAAGAATGTACATTATTCAGATGTTCATTTGTTGAACTGCTAACATCTAACTGGCTATCACTCAATATTTATCGCCAGGACCGACGAAGAAGAAAGAAACGGAAACTTGCTGAAATACTTTACGCTGAGAATTCTATATTGTATCAAAAATATAATATTGAATAAAGCTAATAATAATAATAATAATAATAATAATAATAATAATAATAATAATAATAATAATAATAATAATAATAAAATAATGAATTAATTTAGAAGCGAAAGTGAAATGAAACTTTTTTGAGAGAATGAGTTTCATAAATATTTCAAGTATTAGAGATAATTTTACTACGCAATTAATGGGGAGTATTTCGATAAATGTAATACATTATAATCATAGCTAAGAGAAGAGCCAACAAGGTTGTTCATATTGCTCATCTGCTAACGGTTCAATTAAAAGTTGGCAACTGATTCTTTTTAAATAAAAAAGTCTCATCTTAAACTAGGAATATTAGAAATCATATTCCTTACTGATTATATGAATGTACTTGTATAGTGAACGAGAACACAAATGAGGATAATCGAATGAATTTCAACACAAAATTACGGAACATGTTAGTAAAATCTGGGATCTATACAGTAAATACTTAATTTGCAAAATGTCAATCACTTATCTCAAAATTAACTGTTCCTTTTGCAAATATCAAGCAATCATCTCAAACTTCACTGTTCCTTCATTTCCACAGCAATCATTCACTATTCTAGTTCTCCAAGCATTTCACGTTCAATTGATGACACATACTACTTATATCTGTTGAGATCGGTAGCACACACAACACTTGTTAAATTTACCTCACATCTAATGTACAACAGATGATGTACAATCAAATATTTATCGATGTTATTAACAACAAAATTGAGGAAATATTTTAGATTCTCTTCAACAAAATATGTAGATTCTATCTTCCTATCGTTCTAGTGTACTAAATTTGTATATAAATGTAGTCTAAACAATATTTTAATCCGCTGTCTAAAAATCTACCATAGTGATAAATAATTTATCTATCAAATCTGGAATATATATCAACATTCCTCTAAAATTCCAATTGACTTATATGAATTTCAAAATACTACAATGAATTCATTACATTTTGTAAACTCTATTATTATTGTTCTATGAAAATTAATTACATTAATTTGAATTTTTCAATTTTTGGATAAATAAACAAAATTCAAATCATATTTATTTATTTTTATTTATTTCAACGCATAAATATTGGTACAAGAGGGCGCCAAATATATATGCGCCACACCATATTTGTGTGTGTGGGCTGTGATACTGCCTGGGTGCCCAGACCGAAGCAGGTGGTTTTCTTAGGGGGTCACACCCCGAAACTTTGACCTGAAGGTTTGATCCACAAGGCAGTGGAGCATCGTAAGGAGATGCAGTCCCATGGAAGCCGATGACCAACGATGGGTTCATACGCCATTTGTTCATTCAGAATACTGGAGCCCCATGTGCACCATTGGTTTGAGATCCGGTTAAAGCGCCGGACATTCGCTTTTCGTCCTCTCATTTTCGTAGACAACACCCCCGCCACGAGAAGGCAGTGAGTAGGACTTCCGTGGCAGAGGCTGTATACGCGTGGCCGTGTGGGAGCATTTCGAGAGGGAGGGAGGGCCCATCCCACTCGACCATACCAGGGCATTTATATAATTTTATATATATATATATATATATATATATATATATATATATATATATATATATATATATATATATATATATATATATATATATATAATGTAATAATATTTATTATTTAAAATTTAAATAATAGTTACAAGACTATTAATGAAGTCTCTCTGATCTAGTAAAAAATAGTTGCTAAGCACAATTGATTAATCACTGGGTGCTGATCCATGTCAAGCTGGGTGACACGAGATCGAATCCGCCAGGGGGCACCAGTTCCCTCAAGATTACAGGTACACCTTGCTGACGAGTGCCAAGTAGCACGAAACCCGGGTTCAGAGTTTCCTGTTGACTACCTCTAACCACCATCTAAATAGTTGCTAAGATCATCAAGAAATTTAGGTTCACTTGGGAAAAGAGTTACTTGACAAAATGCAAATTTAAGTGAACTTTTATTTTATTTGTAAAACACTTAAGTGAAATTTTTCAACAAAAGAAAAATAGCAACTGCTTAACTTAAACAATAGCCAACCCCATAAATCTTAATTGAATAAATCAAGTAATGTAATGATATATATTTTACTTACTAGTAAGAAGGATATATAATAATAATAATAAAATGTTAAATCCTATTCCAGATGATGTGATCAACCTTTTTAATTCCACGCAATGACCTATATTAGGTACATTGTTAGTTATGACATTTAATCAGCTAGTACTAATATTTAAATAAAGCCAGAATAAGTATTGATGCAGAATAATATGAATTCATTATATTTCATCATTTCTCATTAGCTGCTTACAACCAAATCTGTATTAGAATTTTACATTAAGGTAAGAAATAGTATGAAACAATTGACATAAGTAAAATTCATAAAGGGAACTAATGGTATAAATTTTTTTGGAAAATCGTACTCATATATTGATTTCAATATTAACATTTAATAAAATATGGCAAATAAATACCTTGAGTAATCCATTCATTAGATAATGAATTTACATAAAATGACCAGTTAAATGATTGTAGTTAAATCATTAAATATTTTCAAAGAAAACTCGATTTCATCTAAATAACCGAAATATTCTATGTTAAAAGATGGTTGCTTTTATTTCTCACTCTAATGTATATTTAGTTTTCCAACTACATGTCATTTGTAAGTGATTAAAACCAGTTTCATACAATGTTTGTTAAAGTTCCCAAGTAATACTTATGAAATTTGTCTGCATTTTAAAAGGTAGTAACTTTATTATAATTATTATTCCGATTGAACTGCCCTAATCAACCTTTATTTAATCGTTTTCTTTCTTAACTATCCGTCATTATGATAAATTAAATGAATACTCAGTAAATCCTAGTATTTAGACCTCAATGATTGTATGAATTTGATGAGAACCTTATGTAATCAAATGAATTCATCTTGTCCAAAAGCATTCATTATTTTTAATAACATAAAGTTCTGAAATAGTTTTTGTGGTGGTTAAATTAATTCGTAAGCGGTATTCTTTATACATTGATCTCAGATGAGATAATACAGCACTGGAAATATGTTTCCTTGTAGTAGAGGACTACTCAGAAATGTGCACCCCCGACCGCACCATAGAGTGAACCCATGACATTCAGGTCTCTTGAAGAGCATGTTACTTTTAGATCACTGATTCGAACTGAATGCATCTTCCTTCTTAACTTCATCCAAATCATGATATTGCGAGACGGTCGTTTAACGTCACTAATGCGACTGCTTCACTCCTAAAATATCTAATCTTCACCGGTCGCTTCTCAATATCACCTATCTGGAAGTACTTAACTAATGAACACGCCATCATAGTGTTGATAAGAGGGTTTTGCGAAGACTGGTTTAATATGTGGGTAGTATTCGTCACAGATTGACCTCGGTTTTTTGTTAAAGAGTAACCAACTCACTATTAATTAATCCTCAGACTACATGTCAAATCTGAATATATCAATTTTTCAAAAGAATTTTATTAATCAGTTGACTTTAAAAATGACTCGTAATTTGTGTAAATCCCACAATTTTACTATTTAACAAAAATTCTCTTGAAATTTGTTTTTAACTTTTTTAGAGCATCGCATCGATCAATACACGTAAAACCGGATTCTTAAGTAATGAGGAAGATAGAGCACTATTCGCGAAGCAAAGATCTATAGTAAGTAAAAACTTTTTAAAATGTATGCAACATGCGAAAAAAATCACTTGATAATACATTTCAATAAAAAATAATCCTAGAACTACATAACAACCACAATTGATTGATCACTGGGTGCTGATCAATGTCATGATTGTCTAGTCCTTATTAGTGCAGATCGAATGCTATCGATCATGTTGCAATGTGGCCACCAGTCTAGGTGACTCGACACTGCGGGCACTATATATTGAGATTTAGGTGGTGGTTGGAGGTAATCAAGAGGAAACCCTGGACCAGGGTTTCGTGCTACTTGGCATTCATACATAACAACAAACAACTCTCCACTCATATTTCAGGAGTTAACAGAAGTAATTTAATTCTTGCTAAAACATTTAGATATTGTGAAAACAATGATAATGTTAAGTAATCTAGTAAGAATCTGATTATCATTCCACAACAATTTTGTACATTCTGTATAACAGTTTAATCTTTCTTTGTCCATATCCTCAATTTGGATTCACTTCGGAATTGGTCTACTACCCAGATAATAGATTTACGGAAAAAGCTTTCAGTCAATACAATTTATTCAGAACATAAACCAGATAAACAGTTAATGATCGCTTAGTTTGTAATTTACGAACAGAATTTATCAGCATTAAAAATTATTTTAAAAAAATTTTCTGCAGGGATTTCACACAATTCCACCCTTTTATGAACTTGAATAGAATAAAAACAATGATTGGTATGGAATGAATTTGAACTCGTTTATTTAGCAAATTCTCTTCAGTTCCTTACAAACTAGAAACAACGGTATTAATGATTTGAAAAGTCGTGATTTAAAATAGGTATGAAATGTACATGCAGATTAGTAAAAGGTAGAAACTTTGAGGAGAATTAAAAGTCAACAATTTTTTTTTCTAATTTCTATACTATCCTGGAATAATTGTTATAAAGACATTTAGAACAAGTTTATGTATTTAAAAATAGGCAGTTACTAATCTTGCATTGTTTTAGTGATATAGGCTAAGAAACCGCTTTTCTTATGATCATATTTATAATTCTTTATTTCTCACTTATAATCAGAAGTTTACTCAATTATTCAATTTTACTTCTGATATCTAAAGTATTATATAAGCTATTACACTATTTTGTTTTTTTCATTTCTAAAGACTATTCTCATGCTCTTTACAGTCATCTTTTCTAGAACATTCAGATATTCAATTTATAAATAGATAGCCATTTAAACGAATTTTTAATTCATTCATAATTAATGACTTTTAATAATCTACATTTAGACATCATATCTATTTTAAATCACAACTTTTCTCACTCAAATTATGTATGTTGTTTTGTTTTTAATTCATTAATACTATTGTTTATAGTTTGTAAGGTGTTGAAAAGAATTTGCTAAATAAATGAATTCATATTTATCTGACCATCATCAATATTCTTAATTTAAGTAAAATATTATAAGATTGAAATACTAATGAAATTAAGAATTTAACTTACTTTTAAGCATTGATAATGTGATATTATTTATTGGAAAATAGAATAGTATTAGGCAGAAATAATGAAAAACACAGGAATTTCTGTACTGTTTATTTATTTCTCAGGAGTTTAGTTCATTTTATAATAAGTTTCAATCGATTTTCAAGATTTCTGATAAAACCTAGTCTGTTTAGTGGTGTCTATTATAAATACAACGGTCACACAGTCTGGTAACCAATGTTTATTGTTTTTCTTAGTGATTATATGACTAAAAAGACCAAGCTCAAGTTTATTATTCTTAGGATAGAAAGAATTTGAACAAACTTAAGAAATTTCTACACTATATATTATTTGTATAATCTTATAATTTAACTATTCGATTCGGCATATCTCTGCACGCTAAACAGAATGATATTTGGAATGTGAAAAGTTATTCCAATCAGTGATTTTGTGTTGTACACAGGAACATGTGAGTTTAAAAAAAATCATGAATACTGTGGCGTCAATCAAAATATCTCAATAAGTTTACTGATTGTAACATAGTTCGGCATATTAATATCTTGTACTTAATGACACAGGATTGGTGACATATGGTAGGAATCCTCACTTAATTTACTACTGAAATACCTACATGATCAAAGCATAAAGTGAATACATATTGATTAAGATGATTAAATACTCTACCATTGGTTTGATTTCATTTCTCAACGTTAAATATACGCGTCATGATGATAAATACCTATATGTCCAAGTTTAATCATTTATGTTCCATACCCTCTAGCGAAAACTTTTGATCATATATTTAAAAAAACTAATAGTGAATGATATTGTCATACTTGTAAAAAATTGTTTTGTTAGATATTTGTGCATAACATTGTATCGTTTCCCTTTGCTTTACGTGTTATAATTATTATAGATATATCAGTTAAATGAAATTATGAGAAAATCAGAAATAGCCAATTACGAAGCTTTCATGAACTTAAACCATACAAATTGATTATGCTAATAGGAAAGGATGAATATATGCAGCATTAACACAGAATTTCCTATCTTATTTGTAATGAGTTGAGTAGTTTGGAAGGTAATCCAGATATTATTCAATCTCAATGAAACAGAAGTTCAGTTTCGTTAAACAGTTTAAAAACGCTTAGTAACTGCGTAGTGCATATGGCATAAAAATTAGCTCAAGTAATGTGGAAGGTATATAGTTATATTCGGCAAGACGATATGATTGGTCTGAAAAAGACTATTGATGCAGTTAACTGCTCCAGAAAAAGTACGCGTATAGCCATTGTATTACATAAGCTAGGATCCTCAAGGTAAGTAAAACTTATGAACAACAAAATACGTAGGAAACTGAAAGCAAGCAATATCTAACCATCGCTTCCTGACGTTTGAATACAGAAATCCAATGTCTTCCCAAATAATTCAATTAGTGATTAATTTATAGAATAACCTTCATTTCATATTTCAAGCTTTTATAATACTCAGTATTACACTATCGAATACCAATAAGTAGTGCCTGATTAAACTAAACCATTCATAGCGAATCAAGCCTTATCTACTGGTCTTTCTCAACACATGTCTTACTCAGCTTCTCCGAAAATCCTAAAAAGCACCAAGACAGTCCTACTGTGATTATTAATAGACAATCTTTAGTCTTCATTACGAATTAAATTGCTAAGAAACCAACCACTAATTCCTACATACTAAACAATACTTGTAAATGAAACCAGTAACTACTAACAACCAACCGTAGTTTTCAGAATGAAAACTTTAAAGACCAAACGCCTATTCATTTTTTGATAAGCTAAACGCTCAATATCGATCTTGGGGAATTTAGGGATGTTCATCGTTAAGTCCCTCATGGTACTCAACACATCATCATAGAAGCGCACTAACACTTCCCGGTAATATCCTGTTATTTCTGTTAAGTTACATCACACAGGTTCCCCTTCCCTACAGCACCGAAATTTATTTGCGATTACTATAAAGGTCTTCAGTGTGTCTACAACTAGACTTTTTTACTCATCATACTATCCCAGCGAGAATGGGACTTCATGTGTCAGTGAGTATAAATGGATTTTTCAGAGGTCCATCAGCTCTTATTGACGTTTGGTAGCCGATTTTAGCAGTAAGTCGAGAACACCAAGGGCTAAACATAGTACTAGAGACACCCTCACTGAAACGAAGAGTCTAACTAGTCTTAGGCATCATTAGACTATATAAACACAGAAATTTGTTAGGTATATATTTAATAAGAAACAAGACCGTTGACAATGAATAACAGGAAGATTTCTCAGTGTGTTGATATAGAGGCAAAAGTAGACAATACTCCAATTTACAATTAACGTTTATCCTTAACAAAAACAAGTGACTGTGAGTTTGAATTAAAGATTGTTACGGCTTTTTGCCTCGAGAATCGAAAGAAGTCAACAAGATTTTTTTATGAGAATAGCTCATAGTGAGAGATAAATTAGATGAACACCAGCTAAAAGAATCACCACGAAAACGAAATAAACCATCCATTACAAATTAAATGTAACAGGACCTAGCAATTTGAAAACTCACTTGTGAAGTAGCACTTATTTTTAATCTTCCTCTATATTTCCGATGTTTGGCCGGTTTGTAAATATTTTTTTCTGGGCTACGTTGGTCACCACTATTAATCCTCTTTTCTTGTCTGAGTTGTAACATAGGTGCCTTACCTAGTATAAATTCGACATAAGTAGATCAATGCGCTCTGGTTCCTCCATTAAGAATTCTATACACCAAGAGTTTTACAAAACCCCGTCTTACTTGCATTAACATAAATAAATGAATACGATTTCTGTACTAAGAATGAAATACTCGAAATAAAAGAGCCATTTAGTTAGAAAGTTTTAATTTAAAAATTGTAAATGATTCAAGTATCAATCAAATATTATACGTAACGACAACTGAATTTAAGGAAAAAAATTATTTCTGGAGTAGGTAACTGAATAATACGGTTAAATAAAGCACATTTTGTTAGTTAAGAAAGAAAGAAAGGAAATGAGATAAAAACGAAGGATTGGTACATAATATGTAATATGGAAGTTCATTTCAAGAACAAGACAATAAGTTGTAACTAGATAAATGATAAGCAATACATCGAGGTAGACTATGAGATTGATTACAAGAAGAGTTGATATCTTTTTGTTAAAAAGGGTATTTTAAAATGTTAATGATTGCACAATATACAACTTAACGCGTGAGTGAACTATATATTAGGGAGAAAACTTTTATGAGTATAAAATCGGAAAAATGGCCTGAGTTGTGGATGAGCTTCTTTGTGAAGAAATGAGGTTATATTATGGAAATCCGAGTATCACATATCACTGTAATTACAACGAAGTGGTCAAAATAATTATATCTCTTTGGAAACCTTCGAGAAGAGATGGGATGAGGTAGAAAAATCTTTCCAAACCACGGTAATTCTGTTTTTCCAGATTTCACTAAAAGAGGACAAACGATAGTGTAATGTTTCTTTATAAACATAAACAGGCTCTATACTCAAAAACAGATACAGGCGAATTAAAGATAGAAATTCTGAAACGAGTAAAAAACAGATGAATCAACAGTATACTTTATGCACTGAAATAAGCTTAATGAACACACAGAAATATATACTTTTGTGAGCGCTATATATATATATATATATATATATATATATATATATATATAGTTTTCCCAACAAATAAGTAGGAATTAATGTATTTATAAGCAAATAGTCCTGGAGCATTTCACAGAAAGATGTAAGTTAAAAGTGATTCAATAGTCACTGGGTTTAAGTTTATCTTTCTTACAAGCAAACTAAAGCATTGAGTAGTATTATTGAATAGTGAACTCGTATTAATAGATTAATTTGAAATATATATGTTACATGTTTAGATTAAATGGTGACTGGAAGTTCTACTAATGACTACCAGTGCAACCATTAAATAGAAGGGAGTTAAGGACCACAAGATAAAAATCAGTGATTTTAGTTGAAAGGGTAAAACATCAAGCAAGTAGTGCCGATTGTCTGGGAGCTAGTCTAATCTAAAAATTTAACACTGGTTTTAAATCCTAGTACTCGATTTTGTGTCATTGATATGAATCAACATATACTATGATATTACTGTCTGAGTAACTACATTGATACAGGGCAACTAGTAAGTCACTTATGTTTAGCGTATAAACAAAATATTGTATTAAGTGTTGTGTTATCAACCGGTTAGTTATGATTTAGATAATTAATTTATATCACTTGTTAGTGGATGAGTATGATAAAACAATGGACTTGAAATAATTGCCGCCCACTCAGATTAGACATCAACTAAGTAGAAACAGGTTCACGCATCTAGCTGACCAGAATCTATTTTAAGTGCTACTGAGAACACTCGACAAACCACTTTATAGACAGTGCTGATTTCAGACCTAACCACAAAATACCGACGCCAAATGAGGAGAATTGGTATAACAATTCTTACTGTCTAAGGATGACTTGTGAGTGTGAAACCAGAAACAGCAGTTGAAATTCGTGGTGGAGGAGGAGGAGGAGCACAATTTTGGTGATTTGACATATGAGACAGCCGATGTGAATTGAACAGTCGCGTTTCCTGCATGTTTGCATTCAACGGAGTACAGCTACTACTGCTACTACTTTTCGAACTGAGCATAGAATCTCGTTTAACTGATTCCTGTGTTTGGTGTTGCTTGCTATCAGAATTATTAGCGGGAACATTCTGTCTTGGGTTTCCAAAAGAAGTTGAACTAGATCCTGTAGATGATGCTGCAAGCTCGTTCTGTTGAGATAGATCATTACCATTAGAATAAAAAGGAGGTCTTAATCTAGACTGATTGCCTGCAACACCACCAGTAGCAGAGAGACTTTGTGCCAAATTAGAATTTGACTGGGAATGTTGCTGTTTTAGTGACCGTACATTTGGTAAAACTGAATCTTGTTGTCTAGAATGGCTGAATCCCTGAACCCCAATGTGGTTTGACGCGGATGTTTCTTTGGGACGTGATTTCGTATGTCCAGGAATTTCATGAGCGAAATGACCTGACTCACTACTTGTGCTAGATGTTGAACTGGAATAGCCTGAAAAAGTGGAATTTAGGAAACAAAAAACCATTAAAAAATTAAGTAACATCTAAACTAATGGTTACAGCCAAAAATCCTTAGAAATTTTGTGGACTGTAATTTAAATAATATATTTGGAAAACATAAGGTTTAATGTGTAGATACATGAAAATATGAAACGATGGAAAAGTCAAAAGAAATCAGTAATTTAATTTTAACAGATAATTTTGAGGATAACATTCAACGTTGATTAACTGAGCCCGTGACTTTAAGTAGGAACGCTTACAGTCAAGTATTAAATACGATTCAAATTAACAAATATCATGAAAGGTTTTTGCAGAAAACTTACGCAGTTGATCATTAGTCGCTCATTAAACAGTTGAAATGAATATTTTGTAGATGAAGACGAGTAAAAGATACTTATAATTTAAATACCCTTAAACAAGGAAATACTAAGTACCCTACATTAGAAATAAAACACGATGAAGGGAATAATTGCAAATGGTGTGAAACGTTACTCGGTAGTATTTCACCTTATTTGTAACAAAATTGTGTTAAAAACTGTTGAATAAACATAAAAACTATCGGAAAATTAGTTTGTTACGAGGAATAACAAAGCGATGAGCATCATGGTTATCTGCAAACACGTTTTTGTCATGAATCTTCAAATAAATGATACAAATCAATGTTCATTGTAGTAAAGTTATCAATAATTACCAACTACGAAACAGTATGAACTTTATCATTAATGACTTTGATTCCATGGATATGACCAGTGTTTGATAATCGGTTCAACTGAAATAAGTAATAAACTTCATATTATGTCCTCAAACCCCAGAATGTTGTTGGACATAATTACTATTGATGACTAGGGACATTCGTTCGCATAGCATTAGACAGTTTTATAAAACTTGGTACATATTTGTCACTAACCTGAAATATTATCCCTATTTCCATTGTTCAATCGGGGCCCACTGTGTGACTGTTGGAGATTTGCGTTAGCAGCTATATTTTGACCGTCTGCGATCAACTGACGAATAGGAGCAGCAAGAGGCGGAGCAGGTGGATGATACATCGGTGGGACGGTGCTATACTGACTGCTATTCCCTTCTCTACTTGCTGCTCCGATTCCATGAGATCCAGCAAAACCCGGATTGTAATCAGGCATGCTAGCACCAGCCCTAACAGTTAAACTAGTACTTGTTGTATTGTGCCCCCAATTGGGATGAGAATGTGCACCAACTTCACTGACACTATCAACTTCTTCTAGGCTTAAGCAAGACATATCTGGAAAATATGAAGGTAAAAAATTATTAGCTGACAAAATTTACTGACTTCGGAAACAAGTCGAATAGGAAAGAGAAATATACAACTTAATATGTCAGAATGAAACGCAACAAATCAAAAATAAGAAACGGGTATTCATACTGAAACAACTTGTTTAAATAGCTACGACTTTTCATTTTAGTGCCTCCAATAAGCTCAAAATTCTAATAAAGAAGATATATTGATTAATTTTATTCATGAAACAAGAAAAATATGCACCACAATATATTTCTGGCTATTGGCAGTGGGATTGAGATGTAGTGTAATGAAAATAGAATGTGAGGTAAAATTGATCTAAATAGCACACTAGGTTTAGTCAAATTATGTGTTAACTAAGAAAAGACATAAATACTCTAACCTCTGTAAAAAAAATTAAATCTCTCAAGAGAACGAATGGAAATATCCAACAGATTATGCGTATTAATTGCGTAATATGTTAACAAGAATGGTAAGTTCAAAAAGACAAAAGTAAAGCAATAAAAGAGTAAGATAAATGCTTACGTTCACTTATATCCCGGAAGACATAATAACATTGTTCCGAAAAAGTTAACTTATTTACAATATGCCGAATGTATCCCAATTTGAGCAGATTAGATGCATACTTTCGGGCTTCCCGGCGATCGGTCAAACCATCCAAGTGACGGAAAAGCCAATCAACTAGATCAGAACCTTGAGGGTGAAGTAAAAATCGTACGATGTGAAACTAATAAAAAGACAAACTGAAATATATCAGTGAATGAAAACGTTAAAGTATGTACGCATAAAACTTCTTCAAAATGTTGTTTGTAGGAATGAACTAAGTTAGACACGACAAATAACAAATAAACCTTAAAACCACGTTCATGTGAAAACTATGACAAGAAAGAAGAAATGTCGCAGCAGATTATTTAATGCGTAAAAAGTGATGACACTAGCACATAACGTTGAATATAACAATTACGGTGACAGTCTATTTGCAGAATGATACATCACACATAATTGGTAGCTTTAATTATTAAACCTTTTGAACCATTCGTTTTCAAGTAGAGTTCAACTTAATTAACAGACGAAATTATTCTAATTAGTCAAACTAGTGAAAGCCTAGTGCCCAAAATGCGACAAATAATTGTTGTAAAAGACATCAATTAGGACCATTAAAGTGAGTCGCAAAAAACTTATCGTTCCACAGTTTATTCACTCGTATAATATTACTTACCGAGGATTTTGTTAAAGACGAAATAGGATAAGAAACGAAGCCAATAATACATGTACATGACTTTCTCCTTTTATAATTAACCCTCATAACTTACCAGAAAAACGAAGAAATACTCTTAAAAATTTAATGTAGAGATCTAGATCAGCGTAGAAACTTAAATTGATTTAACTTCCTACATATCTATATCTTTGGCTTTGAAACACACCTAATGTGCGATAGTTGAGGAAGCTACATAAATTTCTAATCAGAAGCTAAGACTCAATCGTTAAATGTCGACTGACTAAGTCTTTGAGTAAACCATACTGTCCCAGCTATTCGACCTCGAAAAATATTATGAAAACTATGGATAGTTATACACTCCACCACGAGCAAAAACAAAAAAATCTTATCAGATTTATTAAAGTGATAAAAAACTCTTCAACTGTACCACCTTAAATAAAATGCTCTCTGCCGATGGACACTGTTGTTCAGTCAGTCAGTCAGCTACAACGTAGGACCAGACACATATGTGCATCGGTCCAGGTTGCCATACCTCATTAGCACAGCAAGATGAACACCGGATTCATAGGAGTGGTTAGGTCAAAGGTTGCAATAAGGATATAGTATAGGAAGAAAGAATTAGTTCGTAGACAGAAAGAATGAAGTGATTTTAGTCTCTTAGTTTAAGGGAAGACAGGGAGTGTATACACCGACGCCACTGTGATCGATTCTGAGCCATGTCACCAAGAGTCTCCAACCATTGGTTACGAAAGTCACGCGGACCCCAACCAAGTAGTCTGCATCTACCAACGTGGCTCAGACTAGAAGTTAGTGACTTCAGGCACTGATGCCACGTTTTGGTTTGGCCGCCCCTAACTTTCTTCCAACCATCCCCTACCCCGGTTAGCATTGCACGTCGTGGTAATCGGTGTTCAGGCATACGTAATACGTAGCCCAACCATCTCAGTCGATGAAGATTCACAACCTCATCAACTGATTTACCATCATTCCCTAATACCCTGTTGTCTAATCTCACTATTACTTACCCGTTGATCCCAGCAGATGCGAGCAATATTTCTAAGGCATCGGTGATCAAATACTAGTAGCTTTCCAGTATCTTCTACCCTTAATGGCCACGCGTCGCAGCCGTAAGTTAGAACAGAACGAACTGCTGCTCAGTATACTCGTTCTTTTATTGATAGACGGATATCTCGCCTTTGCTATAGGTGACGCAAGTTGGAAAAAGCCAAGCGAGCTTTTCGAATCCGTGCTGAGATTTCGTCAGACACCAACCCATTAGGGCTGATCAGACTTCCAAGATAAGTGAAGTTATCAACGCGTTCGACTACTTCACTCCCTATCCTTAGTTCAGGTGTTGACGCAGACCAGTCCTGAAGCAACAACTTGCATTTAGAGGGAGAGAAGCGCATCCCAAACATTCTGGCATTGTTGCTTAGTGCTACCAGAAGACTCTGCATTTTCTCAGCGTCTTCACCAAACAGGACTATGTCATCTGCGTATTCTAAGTCGATAAGTGGACCTCCTGGAAGGAGATCAATACCCGAGAATTCAGTCGACGAGAGTGTTATTTCCATCAATAGGTCTATGATGAAGTTAAACAAAAATGGAGAAAGTGGACAGCCTTGACGGACACCACTTGAGGTTGCAAAAGTAGATGACAGTTCGCCATAAGCCCTGACTCGACTAGTAGTGTTCGAGTAAAGAGCCTTCACAAGGTTTATGTACTTCTGAGGTACGCCTTTCAATGACAGACACTGCCACAGAGTCTCGCGGTCTACCGAGTCAAATGCTGCTTTTAAGTCAAGAAAGACCACCATCGTCGGACGCCGATAGGTATGCCTGTGTTCTAGAACCTGACGAATGGTGAATATGTGGTCGATGCAGCCACGACCAGGTCTAAAGCCAGCTTGGTTCTCTCGAGTTTGTAGTTCACGAGTCTTAGTTAGGCGTTTGATAATTATCGAGGCTAGTATTTTAGAACTATGTTTGTTAAACTAATCCCTCTGTGGTTGTCACAGGATGATTTTGACCCTTTCTTATATATTGGGACGATAAGTGATTGCGACACTGTTGTTGTCTCAACTTCAAGAAATTAAACTATCTATTAAAAGTTACCACATAAATAACTACGAAATATGCTGTGAGCCGTGTTATTTCAGCTGTATACAGAATAAGCAATTTGAAGCTGGTTACATGCACTAGACATCTAGGCAAAGCAGGAGTAGAGCAGACTTTAAAAACGGTAATCCTAAAAAGGAATTGGCTGACGAATAAAAACTTATCCAAAAACTTACAACTAACCTATAAACGCGTTTGGTACGGTTAGCTTGAGCCACATACGATCCCTAATATCGAGACCAGAATCAGGTTGGAGCATTGCACGAATAACTGTGGGAATACTTGTCGATAGACCTAATGGAATGGGGTCTGAGTAACGTTCAATCTCCGGCAGCGAGCTGGATGCAGTAACAATGCTAGGAGCGACCTACAAGTATTAAATCATAAACAAATGAACAATCAATGATGTAAAGAGAATAAATAAAATTATCTACAAAATAGAAAGGATATTACATTTATACATGTGAATGAACGTATTGTCATGACCTTGTTTCATTTGAAAAGACTAAGGATGTATCCAAGAGAGAACTAGCTAGGCACTTAGTTGACCAAGTAAAGGTTTTTAACCTGAGATATCCTGGAACGGTTCGTAGTCCGCTTTAACAACAGTGACGTCTGTTAACAACCTGAAACAAGAGATTAAAACAACCAATAGATCTCTGAAGCCTAAAGTAAATTTATAGACTCATGGAAACCCGTACTGTATGTTCGGGGAGCAATAAAGCATTAAGACGACTTAAAAAGACTGACGAAAAGTCTACATAAGGGCCGAGAGCGATGCTGAGAAATGAAAGTGAAAAAAAGGTATGAAAGTCGGGGGGACTGGGAACGCTAGACACTGTTCAAACTCATCGAGTAGATTGACACTAAAAAATTTAGCTGTTAGTGAAACGATTTCGAAAAAAACATGGGACAGTGATCCGCTTTCAGTTTATGATATTGGAACAGTGGGTAGAACGCCTTAGAGAACAATTCGATTGGTCTCGAAATACTCTTCAATTACCTGCCACTTCACAAGTAATCTGAATAAGATAGATATATACGTACTAGCATCGATATTCTATCTCGTATTAATGATAATTATGTACTAGTGAAATCAACTAATTTTATAAAGTATTTTTTTAATCATATCTATGGTGTGACAGCTAGGAATATGAACTAGAAAAGAGCTGAAAACCATAACCTAATAGTTAGAAATCGAGTATCTGAGACGCCACCTTATCCTTTTGAAATGAGAGCATCCAACTGAGTGAAATTTTAAATTCATTTTAAAATTATTGTGAAAAATAATCTTTTTTCCGGTGATCCGAAAATTTATGCTAATTAAGAATTTATTGACCATCGATTGCTAAGATTAGAATTTTGATGATTTACAGTAATTACCCTGTCCCACGAAAAAATAACATTTAGCAGTGAGGAAAAAAACGAAATAACATCCTAGTTGATATCAACGCTTTACCTGTTGAGTATAACCATGGGGAAGTAATAAATTTGACGTAGGATAAAATGCGGGTTGTGATAAATGAATTCGCTGTTGAAGTAAATGTTGTTGCTGCTGATGTTCTTGTTCTTGTTGCTGTTTTTGTTTAGAGGCTGCAAGTAAAGCAGCCATATTGAACGCTGCTGCACTTGTACCTAGCGGCATTGAAGTTTGCCCTGATGTCAAAGTGCCCATACTCATACCAGGGGTAAGACCAGGGGGACTAAGAGTGGAGCTAGACTCACCACCTGACGAGGCACCAGTCATGGAAGTCCCATTAACTTGTCTATGTATATCACTACTTTGAACCTGTGAGTCTGGTGTGGTCATTGCGTTGGTATGTAACACCCAGGCACGCGGATCAATAGGATGTACAGGTTCTTGACGAGGTATTGTAAAATAACGTTCGGCTGGATTAGGATCCCAACATTTAGCAACAACTAATGTAATAGGTCTACGGAAAACAGTATTGAAATTTACAAAAAAAACAAAATTTTACTACCGAGAAAAAAGACAAAAACTCAATTCACTCAAAAGCAAAGTAGGTTTTAAAACCTCATAATTTATTATACTTGTGATAAGCTAGGAATTCGATTGTATTGACCACAAAGTTTAAAAATTCGTCATATAACGACTTAAACATGTTGAGTATACGGTCGAAGATACTATTCTAAAATATTTTCTACGTTTTGTTGTGAAATAAATCTAGTCTCGATGCCCGATCAGAATTATCTTTCAAAATTACCTTTAAAGTCGAACGGGTAAGATCAAAAATATGATAAATTAGAAACCCGTGAACTGCAGTGGTTCTAGCAATAAAGTGCTTTAACCCTGAACTCTGGGTTCAAAAGTAGTAAGTGCAGTTTCATTTCACAATCGATCTAACATTCTAGTTCTTCTTATTCGATGATCACTTCCAAATCTTCATAATTATTATCCAGTTACTATTAACATCCTATTTTTTATTCTTCGCATCTGTCAAGTGTATTATTCCCTCACATTTCTGATCCGTAAACCATTTTCATCTTAGTATATCTATTTAACCTTGAGAACATCAACCAATATTCTTGTGATACTTGAAATTTTCAAACATCTTATGATATAATCTCCTGATTTTCAATGGATTACTATATTTGACAAGCAACTATAAATATGAATGTATAGTTTCAATAAATGAAAAGATTTTCTTCGCCGAATTGTCTTTATTCCTTCTTTAATGGCCCAAAGGATCTCTTCCATTATTTGTGTAACAGTAATGCACTAAATAACACTGGAAGGCACAGGTAGTATATATGTCAACACAACATCATCCTAAAGAAAGTAACAAATGCCATTGGCAGATATGATTCGTGCAAGTAAAGCCTACGGAATCTTCGGATATGTCGCTTAACGAACAGAACACATTACATAGAATTTTGAGGATATAACAGTTTCGTGTACAAAGAATATATGGCGTTTGGTGTAAACATAGTATACGTGTTCGATAAATAGTAAGACATGTTTGTAAAGTTAGAAGTGCTATCCCGTCATATCAAGAAGCGAGTTAGCAAATAATTAACGTTCTGTAAAACATAATCCTATTATTTACTTAGGTAGTCAGTATTTATTTGCGTGATTTAAAGTTTGTTTTCGTTAGTTCTCGATGACAACTGTGTTAAAACATATCCTTATGATCGATAGCATCCCAATTAGAATACCTTATACTTCCAGACGTACCTCAACCCTTCATGGATCTTAAAATAAAAAGAAACAAGCTTTTTGAATTTTATCTGAGAGAATTAGACAGTGATATAATATAGCAACAACCGATACCTGTCCCAAGGACGAATAATTTGGGAGTTTATATAATTATATGACAAATTTCATTTCTGCTTAACAATGGCATAAACAGTTCGGTTCTAAACACTGAATTTCATTGTTTAGGAAACCAAATATTATTATTATCTTACCCAGGACGCTGAACTTGCTCTCGTAATGTGCGAACTGCATCGTCATTACTCATTTCTTCAAAACTAATTCCATTTGCTTCCAGAATCATATCCCCAGGTTCAATTCGTCCATCTTGAGCGACAGCACCACCCTTCATGATAGAACCTACATAAATCCCACCATCTCCAGATTTATTTGACTGACCAACTATACTGATACCCAAGAAATTGACGATATCCATGTTCAACGTAACTGCTACAATATTTAAAGACATGGTGGAGTCTGTAATACTGCTGAACGAAGAGGCCTATAAAAGATTGAACACAATAAAAGTTTAAGTCTTCTGAATAACTTGTAGATATTTCCAAAATCAGATAGCAGGAAGCTGAGAAAAACTACTATTCTCTGTTGCAACCATAAACTCAGATAACTAATTCAAAATAATTTACAAATAGAGGGACATTTAATATATTTCTAATGTGGAGGTGTAGTTGCATAACTTGTGCACTAACAAATAGGATAATAATAATAATATATTATTTCCAATCAATTGAAATGGCACAGGGTTAACCATAGATTATTTCGGCGATATGGCAACATCCATATTGTATCATGATGTCACTTAGCGTCTACATTTCAAACTCATCCATGTAATGTCGTTAGCAATGAGGACTAATCATTGAGTGATATCCCTGACGATGTTAAATTGTCAATTAAATATACTTCAAATGTAATGAGTGGCAGGTTAATGGTTAAAGTATTCGATTTCTAGCCACATGTGCGTAGGTTTGAACCCCAACCCACTTCGATTTAGACAGCGGGGTAGAGCAAAAAGCTCACGTTACAAATGTGACTCAAAACGGAATGCAGTAAACCTGAACCTGATAGTCACATTAACAGTGAATGAAATGTGGAAAACTCCTAATTTTAAGATAATTGAAGAGTAATGAGTATGAAATTAAATGTACGAAATGAACAAAAAAAATATTGCACAGAATAAACGTACTCGGCTGATTGGTGGTGGACGCCTACGTCTTCGTCTGCGACGTGCACGACCATACCGACGGGAAGATAATGTTGTTCCAGTGACTGATGAAAATCTGGTTTACAAAATCAAAAAAGTTATTTATTAAACCTGAAGACAACAATATAAAGTTCTACGGGAACATATATTATCAATTTAGTCTATATCACTCAGATAAGCTTATCTAAATCTACTATCGATTTTTGAACTTCAATTAGTAACAAATACATCAACATAATTTAAACTTTACCATCCCTTAACGGGATCTTTAGACGAAGTCATTTGCAACCAGAAAATACAAACTTACGCGGAACGTAACTGACCTGCTAGATTCTTCTTCCGAGTCTAAGAAGCTAGTTGATTCTAAATCAGAACTCATCATTGAAGGAGCTTCATAGGTATTTGAACTAGGCAAATAACGATAGTGGCGATGGCGTGAACCACTATGGGTTGTCTGTTGAGTAGTATGACTACCACCACTCGTTGTATGGTGATGTCGACCACCTAAAATCAAGCATAAATGTGAAATTCGCACGAAGTCAGGAAAATGAAAGAAAAGTAATATTTTTTGCGAAATTACTGAACAAATAGCAAACAATGAAAGAATCACGGAAGATTCATTTGATGAGCTATCACAGAACATGAATGAAGATAAATAAGCTTTTAAAGCAAAACTACGTACATGGTGAGATCATGTAAGTAAAACAATTTTAACCAACAAATTGTAGTTAATATCTTAGGAACATATCGCGTGCACAGTCATACTAAATTTATACCGCTGACGATCATTTCATGTATGCAAAGTAACAGAAAACTTAAAAAGCTGAAAAAGGACTTTCAATAGATACTACTATTGCAAGAGAATATATTCATAAATTCTTATTAAATTATAGTGATAAGCTTTTTTAAATCATGCTGATTGTTTCTCATCTAAATCAAATTCCAAAAAATCAGATAATTTTTTTAAATATTCAGTAGTCAACACACATATGAGAAAAAAAGTATTAATAAAAAAAAGTATTCGTGAATTGAGTGGAAAATGTACATATGCCAACGTAAACATAAACTACAAAACAAGACCTGGAATTTAAGAAATACAAATATTGATACACATATTTTTATTTGAAGGTTTAGTCAACATTGAGATCAATCATCTTAAGAGCTTTGATATCGTGACAAAAACTCTCAGCTGGCCTCATTATCAGGTATGTTTACAACACAGTAGACGTATTTAGTCTCTATTTCCGGAGGAGTCACATAAATATCTTACACCGTTTCTTAGTGAATTTTTTATACAGAAAATGAAAAACGTCGATGAGCATTTTAGTAGTGAAGTGGTATTATTGTAGGGCACAAAAGTATATTTTTCAGTATGTCTATCAATAGTTCAGACACGGAACAATATAAATTATGAGACTTCTTATTTCTGCAACAATTATCATCAGCCAACATCTTAGGAGAAAGACTGACTTCATACTAGTTATACTCTCAAGACAAGCCTAGCAGTGCAAAACATTCCAAAACATTCTATAAACTAAACAGTAACAGAATAAAATTAATTTGTACCCAGATCTCTCCACCCTTGAATCCCATGCTAATTTAACAGCGGTCACACGTGCATTATTCGTATGAAGTCTATTGAGTGGAGTTTTGCCCACTGACCTAGCATGAATCAACAGATCGCAAAATTTGTTAACAGCTGCTCAGAGTGCCAGAAAGTAACAAAACTAGACAATCGAGTATCGCCAGTCACATGATCACAACTTGAAGACCCATAGTCCAGAGTACATAGATTTAGAAGGCCTATCAATGACATCAAATATCTGGTTCTCGTGGGTTCCTAGTCAAGATGACCAGAAATTTTCCTATGCCGCCACAGTTCATCGACAAAGCTCTCATCGAGTATTGACAGAAAGTCTCCGAGGTAACAAATTGTCAGACACTATGGTATCAGATAAAGTTTCGCTACATATCAGAATAATTCGAAGACTTTTACCACCGTCATTCAATAAACTATGTGAGTTCGTCATTAGAATTATTCACAACCGTATGGACAAGCTGAACGTTTTGTTGATAATTTAAAGCGGGAACTTCTAAGGTCAAAAGTGGGAAACAAGGAGTAAAAGTCTATAAAACTTCGCATTTGTATACCAGAGTTGCGAATTATTAGCTTATTCCACAAACGTACCACTGTTAGATGGATTAAAATTCCTAATAAATAAACCTAAATATTGATCTTTCTATTGAGTAGCGAATTCATTCAGAGATAACCCAAAACATTTAAACTTGAGTACAGTTACTCTAGGTCAACCTAACAACTTAAAACAAACAAGCAGTAATCCAATTTGCTTCACTTTTAACAGCACAAGATACACGTTAGTGGAGATGACTGAGAATGAAAACATACGTTTAAAAGGGAGATTTTGCTTTTTCAGGATAGTTGTTGAGCACATACATCAGTAAAAATACGTCATGTTGAATAAAAGAGAAGGAAATGATGAATAGCCGACAATAAAAGTGAAGTGATTCAGATATAAATCCATTTAACATAAAAGCTAAAAATGTTACATCGATCAACCTAAGAAGTAGGAAAGATTAAGATTGTTCTAAATAGGCATCTCAACAAAATAATCAGTCCTACAATGTTAAATTATCAACTTATGAATGCATAAAGTAGAATCATTCGACAGACTTATTATAATGAGAACGAACAGGAAAACCATTATTTTTATTACTAACAATTTCATAAAACACAAATAAGATAAATATGGGAAACTTACTAGATTTATAATTGTGAAAATTCCGTAGAGGAGCAATGCGATCTATTATATTAATTGAACATAAATAAATAGATAGATAACAGAAAATGTGTATTCTGATTTCAATAATAAAAGTACTTATGAACCCTGTCATATATGAAAGTGTGAGCAGAATAAACAAGCAGCCTCTGTCATCTGGACCACTACTGACTAGAAGTAAGACAATTCTGGGTAGATGCATGATGATAGTTTGATTTTCAGATAATGGGATGAATACCACCGAAAAGTGCATGTTCAAAAATAAAAGTTAGTGAATAATAAACATTAGCACACGTCACTACGTGGTTTTTGTTTGTCCTTACTGAGGCATAGGTTTGAAGAAAGCTAGAGGCGGCCAGACCAAAACATGGCACAAGTCCATGAAGTCACTGACAAGTGGACTGAGTCATGTTGGTAGGTGTAGACTACCTGGTCGGGGACAGCGAGACGATAGCAACCGATGGTTAGAGACCCTGAATGATATGGCTCAAAATCGTTTGCAATTGCACAGGTGCATCCACTCTTTGGGTTCTTGTAAATTCTAATCTCCTGAATCCTCCTTGTCTCTTTTTTTGTCTTTCCAAATTTACTTCACTGGATTATACTCTTTAAATAACATCTTCAAACCCTAATCTTTCCGATTACTGCTTATACTCTTACCGCATCTACCACTACGGGATTTGAATCGACCACTGCACCTCTGTGCTAATGTGGTGTGGCAACTCGAACTGATTTACGTACGTACGAAGTCCTACGTTGTTACTGACTGAATGATCACTTCCCGGCTGCCCACACCGTGGAAGGGTATTTCTTGAGGAACCTGAGAATGAAGTTGGATTAATGACTGACTGACTGAGGCGATCACGAAACTGATCGATTTTTGTTACTAGTAACGGTAACTGCAAGTGCTATTTATTTAGCTCAATTTTCTGCAAAGCCTTTACCCTTTTCCTGACTTGTCATCACTACTCTTAGTTCGTTAATTTTCTGGAACCTTGAACGCTACTAGACGAGTCAGAGCTTATGGCGAACTGTCATCAGATTTCGCAACCTCAAGTGGTGTCCGACAAGGCTATCTACTACCCTAATCATCTGATTTCTCCGGAATTGACCTCTTACCAGAAGAGTACGCAGATGACATAGTGCTGTTTGGTGAAGACGCTGACAAAATGCAGTCTTTTGGTAGCACTGAGCAACAATACCAGGATGTTTGGAATGTGTCTCTCCGCATCTAAATGCAAATTGTTGCTTCATGACGGGACGAAAAGTCAAAATTAGATTAATTTACTCATTATGATTTTCGTTTAACATTAATTCCGTTTTAATTCAATGTAATGATTACTCAGTATAGTATTCAGTTTCGTTTTCCCGTATGACTTTTTTATTCTGTATAACATACGATATTCTTGTATTATGTTACCATGAACTATACTCAGCATATGATTTGTTATAACTAAGTGTTTTTCATATATGTGACTTTGACTTAAGTCGTGAGTGCTGTTAGAGGTACTCAAGACCACTGCCAGTCCGTGTCGTCCCATGATATCTTCATACCCGGTGTTGTGCATTCCAATGTTTAGGTCTCCCATCAGGATGGTCTGGTCCTTTCCTAAGCACTTTGCTATGATCGATTTCAGCCTCTCATGAAACTGGTCTTCGTCGACTTCATTGTTATCATTAACGAGTGGATAACATTTGAGAACATTCATTGTGATTTGGAGGGAAGAACAATGAAACAGCTAACAACAACAGCTGAACAGGAAGAGAGAAAGTCAAGGCACACCCAGAATACACAGAAACAAACAAGCAAGTGAAGAGGACAATTCGAGCTGACAAGCGGAGATACGTGGAAGACCTAACAGTCACAACGGAAAAAACTACAACAGAAGGAAATGTCAAACAACTATATGACGCAACGGAGGAACTGGTAGGGAAACATAGTAAACCAGAGAGACCAGTGTAGGACAAAGAAGGCAAGCCAATCACTGAGATTCAAGGGCAGAGAAACAGATGGGTAGAACACTGTAAAGAACTCTCAAATAAGCCAGATCCATTGAACCCACCACAAATCGAAGAAGCACACACAGAATTACCTATAGATATCACTCCATCAACAACCGAACACATCACAATGGCCATCAGAAAAATCAAGAGTGGAAAAGCAGTAGAACCTGACAAAATACTACCTGCAGCACTACAGTCAGACAGAGAAGCAACTGCAAACAGGCTCCAAGTTCTACTCAAGAAGATTTGGGAGGAAGAACAAGTGCCGACAGACTGGAAAGAAAGATACCTCATTAACACACCAAAAAGGAGATCTGAGATCTACAGAGGCATCACACTGCTATCATTAATTGGAAAAGTTTTCAGGTGTTGCTGAACTGGATGAAAGATCCAGTAAACGTCCATCTTTGAGATCAACAGGCTGGATTCCGCATAAATCGGCGAGGTCTCGTGCTGTGGGCACTTTTGGCTAGGTAGGCTAGTAGTTAAGCGCTCGCTCGCGAGACCGACAGGTCCTAGGTTCGAATCCCGCGGTGCGGGATCGTGGACTCGCACTCTCCCCCAATGCCCTGGTATGGCGGAGTGTGGAGTGGCCATCCTCCCTCTCTAAATGCTCTCACATGGCCACGCGTATACAGCCTCTGCCACGGAAGTCCTATTCACTGCCTTCTCTCATGATCTAAAATGTCACTTCTGTCATAAATCCTAATTCTTCCGCAATGCTTGTTGCTAGGATGGGAAATTGTGTTTCTGGTGTTCGTACTGCATTACTTTCAGTTTGAATTGACACATTTCGATTATGATTCTCGGAGTATTTGCTAGCTTTCTGTTATTTGTAATAACACACGAAAGTGTCCATTGAAAACTAATCTAGTTAATATAAACCAATAAATAATTATTTACAAAATCTACTTTATCCTCAAATGCCCTGGTATGGCGGAGTGTGGAGTGGCCATCCTCCCTCTCTAAATGCTCTCACATGGCCACGCGTATACAGCCTCTGCCACGGAAGTCCTATTCACTGCCTTCTCGTGGCGGGGTTGTTTATGAAATTGAGAGGACGAAAAGCGAATGTCCGGCACTTTAACCGGGTTAGTGGACATGGAGAGTCCACCTAGGGGAGTTGGAAAACCCTGATTCCGAACCAATGGTGCATATGAGCTCCAGTATCCCGAAGGAACAAATGGCGTATGAACCTATTGTTGGTCACCGGCTACTATGGGACTGCATCTCCTTACGATGCTCCACTGCCTTATGGGTCAGACCTTTGGATGTAAGGCTCGGGGTTTGACCCCCTAAGAAAACCACCTGCTCCGGTTTGGGCAACCAGGCAGTATCTCAGCTAACACGCAATTAGAATGAAATGAAGACATTTACTGAGAATACTATTCTCGCTTCGATTAAACGTCAGACAATTCACATTTTTTTTACTACGTCACTTATTCACTCGCTTTTATTCCCACTTTTTGTGGCACATATATATTTGGTGCCCTCTTGTGCCAATATTTATGTGTTCAAATAAATAAATAACACCAACCTCCTTAACTAGAGGAGTTTGGTAGTGTGGAGAGGAGGACTTTGTGGAACCTTCTCCCACACGATGATGTGCCTGAGAAGATTGTCAGCACCATACAAAATTCATACGACAGATGACACTGCAAAGTCATGCATGTGGAACAGCTGACAGACTTATTCCAGGTGAGGACCAGAGATAGACAAGACTGCCTACTCTTCCCCTTCTTCATTCTACTAGTGACTAACTGGATTATGAAGACCTCCACATCTCAAAATAAGCACGGAAACAATGGAAAGCTTGCATGCAAATAGACGATTCGGACTTCACAGATGACATAGTCCTCCCATCCCATACACACAAACAAATGAAGGTCAAGACAACCAGTGTAATGGAAGCCTCTGCATCAGTAGGTCTCAACATACACAAGGGAAAAAGTAACATCCTCAAATACAACTCGAAGAACACCAATCCAATCACACTTGATGGAAAAACTCTGGAATAGGTAGAATCTTACATGTAACTGGTCAGCAGCATCGTCGATGAACAAGGAGGATCCGATTCAGATGTAAACGAAACGATCGGCAAAACAAGGACAGCATTCATACAGTTGAATAACATGTGGAACTCGAAACGACTATCAGCCAACATCGAAGTCGGAATCTTCAATACGAACGTCAAGACAGTTCTACTATTCAGAGCTTCATCTTCCAGAACTACCACAACCATCATCAAAGATGTACAAGTATTTACAAACAATTGTCTACACAACATACTCAATGTCCGTTGGTCGGATACTATCAGCAACAACCTACTGTGGAGAGAATAAACCAACTTCTATCTGAAGAGGAAATTGGGGAAAGACCTTAGAAGTGGATAGGATATACATTGGGGAAGTCATCAAACTTCATCACGAAGCAAGTACTATCTAGCAATCCTGAAGGAAAACAGAAAAGAGGAAGACCGAAGAACACACTGTGTCGAGAATTGGAAGTCTACATCAAAAGGATGAGTAGGAACGGGAAAGGATTGTCTAGGATAGAGTTCGGTGGAGAATGCTAGTGAGCGGCCTATGCTCCTACACGGGGGTAACAGGCTTAAGTATCATAAAGATATACTCTATAAGAGGACACTATGATGTTAGCAGAACAAGCCCATACAGTATAATACGTGATCAATATTTAGTTATTATACTACATGAACTAACACGTCATAAAACATAATAAGTAGATAATGGCTCATGACTAATTATTCAGTTGGACTATATGTCCAGGCAACAACAATGAGAGGTAAACAACCCTTAGAATCATTCTAATAACAGAGCTAGTGACTTAAGTGTTACATGTTCATTACTAGTAACAGAATAGAATCCTGACTATTGTATCCTCAGGCTGGGCACAAATCGGATTACGCTGATTGGTCCATCTCCAAAATAATCAGTATCAGAGAACGAATCGAGAAGATACCAGAAGACTCATGTAGATTCCATATAAACTCAAATGTTTTTAATGCTAACTTTTGTTGCCCGGGTTTATTGGAATTTAGATTGTCCCCACCCAGTCCTGGTTCTGATTTGGGACAAGTCATGGTCAAGGAATACTAGGCAATCAAGATGAAAATAATCACCAGTTGTGAGTAGCATTTACGAACCGAAACGAGTAGTTCAACCATGTCAATGGTGAGGCAATTACCCACTGAAGGTAATGGAAGACGGTTGCTAAATATCGTGGGTTGATTAAATCTAGGCACCAACACCGTTGGATGAGCACTGCTGAGAAGTTCCACACTAGAACGAAGTGGCCGTTCAGTGCCCCCGGGTTTTCAATAGTGGTCTAACATTGATCGGTTTATAATCTCAATTAAAACTCAACGATCTCCACAGCCCGATACTAACAAAACGAAAATCGCTTACAACTTTAATCATCTACAAGAGGTTTGCATTGTCATTGAAAAAAACTCCAAGTTTATCCACGCTTAACAAATGACGTAACAGGCAGAAATTGACTGAAAAATAAAAACTAACCTTGGTTAGCACTATGTACAGATTCCGTTTCTGTATCGTAATTTTGTCCAATATTTCCTCCATGACCCAGGTTTGCAGAAGTAGAATCAGCTGGAGCAGCGGTCGTATGTGACTGAAGTACACAAGAGTTGATTTTGCATTCGTTGTTGCTTTCAAAAAAGTTGTAAAGTAGATTTTACTTATTATTTATTTATTTTAACACAAAGATATTGGTACAAGGAGGCACCAAATATATATGCGCCACGCAAATCTCATTTGATATGTGTGAGGGCTGTGATACTGCCTGGTTGCCCAAACCGGAGCAGGTGGTTTTCTTAGGGGGTCAAACCCCGAGCCTTACATCCAAAGGTCTGACCCATAAGGCAGTGGAGCATCGTAAGGAGATGCAGTCCCATAGTAGCCGGTGACCAACAATAGGTTCATACGCCATTTGTTCCTTCGGGATACTGGAGCTCATATGCACCATTGGTTCGCAATCAGGGTTTTCCAACTCCCCTAGGTGGACTCTCCATGTCCACTAACCCGGTTAAAGTGCCGGACATTCGCTTTTCGTCCTCTCAATTTCATAAACAACCCCGCCACGAGAAGGCAGTGAATAGGACTTCCGTGGCAGAGGCTGTATACGCGTGGCCATGTGAGAGCATTTAGAGAGGGAGGATGGCCACTCCACACTCCGCCATACCAGGGCATTTGAGGATAAAGTAGATTTTGTAAATAATTATTTATTGGTTTATATTAACTAGATTAGTTTTCAATGGACACTTTCGTGTGTTATTACAAATAACAGAAAGCTAGCAAATACTCCGAGAATCATAATCGAAATGTGTCAATTCAAACTGAAAGTAATGCAGTACGAACACCAGAAACACAATTTCCCATCCTAGCAACAAGCATTGCGGAAGAATTAGGATTTATGACAGAAGTGACATTTTAGATCATGAATTATGCATGTAAATAGACAATTTCGGCACCAGTTTGTAATCTTTGGGTATAGGTATATGAAGATACTGTGACCGTGTACCTACCTGTAGTAACACAAAATAAGAACACTATCGTTCATTATTTGTAGATCAATTCATTCATACCACCATAAATTCAGTGAAAACCTACATATCTTTCTTGGATATCCTGCACTTTCTATTCATTACACATTGACCGTGAAGAATGCAGATTTACGTGTTTGTTGATTTATGCTTCACAAATATTCGATATCCCAAGGATTTATAAGATACTTTTGATTTAAGTGAAGTAGGTTTCCGTATCAACACTCAAAACAGAATAAAGTTGACGGCCGAATTAAACTTGTTACAAAACTGAAGTCAAGTTAAAAGAAAAGCAAGTGAACATGTAGGCTGACAATTTCACGTCTATTGTTCATAGGCAAAATATTCGGCTGACTAACAGTGCAAAACCAAATACTTCTTGAGTCACAACTGAGTTAGAGATAAGAATACGTCGCTACACTATTCAAAACTTATTACTTAACTGAAATTATATATATATATTAGCAAACTTACCGCGTATTATTTGACTCCAAATCAAGGTTAGGATCATATTTACTACTATTTACACTAGCGTTTGCCTCAACAGAGGGGTTGAGAACACCTGGATCAGATGCTATACTTTCATCTGTAGTCACCAACTAAAATGGAGAGCAGAAAAACAAAGTCGAATTGTAACTAGCGACTCGGTGTATAAGACAAGCTATGACGCTAGTTATAACACCTTTAAAAGTAGCACAGTAAATTCCAGATTTTGACACCATTATCATCGAAAATCATTTGATACTTATAAGAAACAGCATTACAAAATTTGATTGCTCCAAAAAATCAACGAATACTTCTAATAACAGTCAAAGGACAGGGAGTGAAGTAGTCGAACGCGTTGACAACTTCACTTATCTTGGAAGCCTGATCAGCCCTAATGGGTTAGTGTCTGACGAAATCTCAGCACGGATTCGAAAAGCTCGTTTGGCTTTGCCACCTTACGTCACCTATGACGAAGGCAAAATATCCGTCTATCAATAAAAGAACGAGTATACTGCGCGGCAGTCCGTTCTGTTTTAATTTACGGCTGCGAAACATGGTCATTAAGAGTAGAAGACACTCTTAAGCTACTAGTATTTGACCACAAATGCCTCAGAAATATTGCTGGCGTTTGCTGGGATCACCGGGTAAGTAATAGCGAGGTTAGACGTAGGGTATTAGGGAAGAATGGTAAATCAGTTGATGAGGTTGTGAATCTTCATCGACTGAGATGGTTGAGCCACGTGTTACGTAAGCCCGAACACCGTTTACCATGATGCACAATGCTAACTAGTGTTGAAGACGGATGGAAGAAAGTTAAGGGCGGTCAAACCAAAACGTGGCATCAGTTCTTAAAGTCACTAACTTCTAGTCTAAGCCGTGTTGGTATATGCAGACTACTTGGTTGGGTCCGCATGACTATCAACCCGACCGAAGCTGCTACCTTGACGCGGTGGTCAGGCTTGCCTATCATGATGACACAACCGAGCCATATTGGCTGGAACATATGTTCCTGTAGGTTCTACCATGTCAGGCAGGTCGATTGGAGAACGGTAAGACTAAAAGCAGCAACTCAAGGTCTGAGGGCGAAGTCGTACTGCTGACTGTAGAGGGGTGTGACAGCAGTAAGGTGTTTCCCTCAAACAACCAGCATGACAGCGATGCTGCCTTCCCACAAGGAGGGGTGGGGTTAGAAAAGGTCGACCCTAAAAATGTCACACCTCACCTTACCTCACGGATTTCCGTCTCCGGCGGTAAGGCCCTTTGAAGAACGGAGCTAACTCATTAAAAACCTTCCACAAAAGGGCCGTGCGCGACCGGCCTCAAGCAGTTGTCCCTTGCGCTCTGCGGTCACGCATCAAGGTCGTTAAGTGCAACACTAATCCGACTTCTTTTTCAGGTACCTCAAGAAATACCCTTCTATGGTGTGGGCAGCCGGGAAGTGATATCAGCCCTCATACCCGTAACATCGCACGAAACCAAGTTGGTCACATTCAAATCCTTCCTACACCTCCTAATACCTCTCTTACCTCCATGACTAACCCTCCTCACGTCTCTTTATCACCTCGCACCGCTAGGGCAAACGATTCGAGTACGCGGAACGCTGTTCCTGGTCTCCTGAAACCACGCTCTAAACTACACGTAGGAGCTTTTAACGTCCGAACACTGTAACAAATAGGACAGCAGGCTTAATTAGCTACGACTTTAGAATCCCACGCCATCGATGTGTGCTGCGTCTCCAAAACGCGCATACAGGATCCGAGTAGCATCATTCACTTGACCTCACCATGCCAAAATAAAGAACCGACTCGATTCACACTTCGTGTATCTGGAAGCTCAGATTCTGCTTCCCATGGCCTCGCCGGCGTAGGTATACCATTGAGTCTTAGGGCAGAACTAGCTCTCTTAGACTGGATCCCAGTAGACAGTCGTTTGTGCGCTGTCCGACCAAACGGAACAGTGAGGATCCGGAAAGATAGGGACACTCGTCGTTGCCTCTTCGTCGTCTCTGCCTATTCTTCCACTGACTGCAGCTCAGATGATGTAAAAGATGAGTTTTACAGAAAGCTCTCCGACCTCCTCCTAAAAGCTAGGCGCTCTGATGTAGTAATAGTGGCTGGTGACTTTAATGTTCAAGTAGGTAAACTAAGCGAAAGGGAAAGACACCTAGGTGGATCTTATAGCGTCGTGACTCAAAGAACAGATAATGCCGCCCGTCTGTTGCAGCTATGCTCAGATAACCGCCTGTTCCTTGCAAATACTAACTTTAAGCATAAGCAAAAACATCTTTTAACATGGCGACCCCCTAATTCGTCCCAACGTTGGACCCAAATAGATCACATCGCTATCAGCCACCGATGGAGGGGCTCGATAGAAGACTGTCGCTCATTCTGGAGCACATGCTTAGATTCAGATCATGCTCTAGTACGAGCGCGTATTTGTCTGCGTCTTACTGGACGTAGGAAAGACGCTGCAAGTAAATCTCTTACGGCCCTAGTTAATGATAGTCAAGCTAAGAGTATATTTCAGGAACAACTAGGAAGACAGTTGTGCAGCCATGTATGTGATGCCCACCCCGAGGCAACACCGAATGATATCCGAAAAGCTGTGGAAACAGCAGTGATATCTGCTAGTAAGTAAACCACAAGGTTAGGGAGAAACACTGGATCTCAGCAGCACCTATCGCACTGATAGATGCTCGGAAACTCATTCCACCTGGCTCTGAACATAATGAAGAGCGGATTCAGCTTAAGTGCTTATTTATTTATTTATTTATTTGAACACATAAATATTGGTACAAGAGAGCGCCAATATATATGCGCCACACAAAACAATGGGAATTCGAAGAGAAGTAAAAAGAAAAAAAACTAAGGAACGCAAAAGAAAAAGAGAGTAATGACGAAGAGGTACAATCAGAAGAAATCTTTCAGGTAAAGGAGACACAACCACTTTTTATGAAGAAAGTAAAAGAAGGTTACAGCAGGATCGCCAGTGGCTTCTATTCTGAGCCATATCTGATAACGTCTCTATCCACTGTGTAGCACCATCTCTCGGACCCCAGCCAGGGAGTCGTGAAGGACCAATACAAGCCAGTCCTTTGCAGCTTTCTTTCATGCCACGACACCATGTCATGCACTGACCATCACAAATGATGGTCAGCTTAAGTGCAAGCTGACAAGAAGTCTACGCAATGATCGTGAACAGTAGTGGGTAGCGAAAGCAAGAGAGATGGAGAAGGCAGTGGCAATAGGTAATAGCAGACAATTGCTCAGACTTGTTAAGGAAACCGACATTAAGAAAAAGACTGTTAGCGAAACACTCTCATAGAAAGATGGACATATTATACATTCTCAATCCAGGAGATTGGATCGATGGGCAGAACACTTTAGGGATCAGTTCAACTGGCCTTCAGACACACTTCGGTTTCCCACGATCTCCAGTCGACCTAATTGGCAAGTTGATGTAAGTCCCCCAACTCTACGAAGTTGAAAAAGCCATGGGAATTCTGAAGCGTGCGAGAGCAGCAGGCCCTGACAGGTTTACTCCTGAGATTTTTAAGGATTGAGGTCCAGAATTAGCAGTGAGACTAACTGAGGTCTTAGGTAGAATTTGGGAACTGGACGTAATCCCATCTGACTGGTCTCAATCACTGATTGTGCCAGTCTATAAGAAATGACAAAAGTCCTCTTGTGACAATCGCAGAGGAATCAGTTTGACAAATATAATGTCTAAAATATTAGCTTCAATAATACTTCGACGCCTAATCAAAGCTTGTGAAGAGCAGACTAGAGAAAATCAGGCTGGTTTTCGACCTGGACGTGGTTGCATAGACCACATATTCACACACGTTCAGACGCCCCACAATCGTAGTATTTATCGACCTTAAAGCAGCATTCGACTCTGCCGATCGTAAGGTTCTATGGCAGTGTTTGTCACTGGAAAGAGTACCAAAGAAGTACATTAACCTTATAAAGGCTCTCTACTCGAACACAACTGGTCGAGTGAGAGCTTATGGCGAACTGTCATCAGAATTGATCACCTCATGTGGTGTTCGTCAGGGCTGTCCACTCTCTCCATTCTTGTTCAACTTTGTGGTCGACGTACTTTTAGAGATAACACTCTCCTCATCTAAATTTCCAGGGGTTGAACTTCTACCGGGATGTTCACTTTTTGACTTAGAATATGCTGATGACAGTTTTATTTGGCGAAGACGCTGACAAAATGCAGTCTTCTGACCACTCTAAGCAACAATGCAAGCATGTTCGGGATGCGATTCTTCCCCTCGAAATGCAAAATGTTGCTTCAGGATTGGATAGCATCGACACCCGAACTAATAATAGGGAGTGAAGTAATTGAGCGTGTCGATCGCTTCACTTATCTTGGAAGTCTCATCAGCCCTTGTGGTCCGGTGTGTGACGAAATCTCAGCACGGATACAGAAGGCTCGACTAGCTTTTGCCAACTTGCGTCATTTATGGCGTAGGCGAGATATCCGTCTATCAACCAAAGGACTAGTTTACTGTGCAGAAGTTCGTTCCGTCCTATTTTATGACAGTGAAACATGGCCGGTAAGAGTAGAGGATATTCGTAGGTTACTAGTATTTGATCATAGGTGTCTTCTAAATATTGCTCGTATATCTTGGGACCATCGAGTAAGTAATGCAGTTGTTAGGAAACGGGTACTAGGTAAGGATGGCAACTCAATTGATGACGTAGTGAAACTTCATCAGTTGAGATGGCTGGGATACGTGTTACGTAAGCCCAACGACCGACTGTCTCGATGTGCGATGTTCAGTGGTATAGGAGTAGGTTGGAAGAAAGCAAGAGGCGGCCAGACCAAAACATGGCACAAGTCCATGAAGTCACTGACAAGTGGACTGAGTCATGTTGGTAGGTGTAGACTACATGGTTGGGGACCGCGAGATGATAGCAACCGATGGTTAGAGACCCTGAATGACATGGCTCAAAATCGTTTGCAATGGCGCAGGTGCATACACTCTTTGTGTTCTCCCAAATTTTGATCTCCTTATTCCTCCTTGTCTTTTTTTTCTCCTCTCAAATTTAGTTCACTGTATTATACTCCTTGAATAACATCTCCAAACACTAATCTTCCCGATTACTGCTTATACTCTTATTACCTCTACCACTACGGAGTCAGTCAGTCAGTCAGTAACAACGTAGAACATCGTACGTACGTACATCAGTTCGAGTTGCCACACCACATTAGCACAGAGATGCAGTGGTCGATTCAAATCCCGTAGTGGTAGAGGTAATAAGAGTATAAGCAGTAATCGGGAAGATTAGTGTTTGGAGATGTTATTCAAGGAGTATAATACAGTGAACTAAATTTGAGAGGAGAAAAAAAAGACAAGGAGGAATAAGGAGATCAAAATTTGGGAGAACACAAAGAGTGTATGCACCTGCGCCATTGCAAACGATTTTGAGCCATGTCATTCAGGGATTTGAATCGACCACTGCATCTGTGTGCTAATGTGGTGTGGCAACTCGAACTGACGTACTTACGTACGAAGTTCTACGTTGTTACTGACTGACTGCATGACTGTCATAACCAATGGTTGGAGACTCTTGGTGACATGGTTCAGAATCGATCACAATGGTGTAGGTGAATACACTCTCTGTCTTCCCTTAAACTATGAAATGAAAATCGCTTCATATCTTTCTTTCTACGAACTAATTCTTTCTTCTTGTATTATGTCCTTATGTGTAAGCCTTTTTTTTATATATTACCACCTCTGAACTAACTACTTTTATGAATCCGGTGTTCATCTTGTTGTGTTAATGAGGTATGGCAACTTGGACCGATGCATATATGTGCCTGGTCCTATATTGTAGCTGACTGACTGACTGAATTAAGGGACGAGTATATTGCGCGACAGTTCGTTCTGTTCTACTTCACGGCCGCGAAACGTGACCATTAAGAGTAGAAGATACTCGCAAGTTACCAGTATTTGACCACAGATGTTATTAGATATATCGCCAGCATCTGCTGGGATCACCGAGTAGGTAGTGAGGTTAGACGCACGGTGTTAGGGAATTATGACGGTCAACTAACAACTAATATCAAATGGAACCAAGGGTTGCATTACAAGTGTAGCATTCATGCTAGGTATGCTAACAATCTTATTAATACACCTAGGAATGGAGTTCTGGATATGTGAAAAATAAGGTAATTGTGTCTAGCACAATAAATACATAAGTTTTCACTAATGTAGCGTCAGAGCACTTTTACCAAATAAAAGCAAGTACAGATAGTCTGAATATCTTACTACTTGTATCAGGTGTATAAGCTTATAGCCCACATCTTTACTACGTTCATCCACCACAAAATTTTGACAGAGGAGCGGAGAACGACATGATGGAGTGGATCAAACCACATAAAATGGTAACTGAGATAAATCTGGAAGTTAAATATGCTACGAAAACTTAAGCTATAAAACTTGGTTTGAGATTCAACATATCACGCTTAGATAAATCCTTTTACTAACCGCTTTCCTCCTTATTCCTAACTAACAGTGAGGTATGATAAGGTTGTCCAGTCTGAATGCTTCCCTAACTTGGTCATGAGATATATTAACATCGGGGAAATAAGTACTGTATACCCGAAACCTTATCAATGAAATAAGAATTAATAAATATGATGCGTATACATACCCAAGAAACGACACGGCCATTGAAACAAGGGAGTGAAGCGTTATCTTCGAATATTTCCTCCTTAACAACCCTAAGAATTACAAGAAAATTAGGGATTAAGAGGAATCACATAAAACAGCAAGAAAGCGTGACTAACTGCTTCAAAAGACAAACATAAAGCCTAGACGAGTACTTACTCGTTGCTACGCTTCACATAAGCGATGGGAGAAAATCAATAGGGGGACAGTGTTGATGACGAAAACCAAACAAGGAATATTGTACGGAATGATCAAGTGAAATAAGACGCAAGATATTTCTGGGAGAGTCTTATGGCGCGGAAAATGTGTTTAACTCTCCCCATCAGAACGCATTATTGTAGTGTGCTATTAAAAAGCGCAGAGATATCTTACTGAAAGCGTTCTTTCGAATATGTGGTCGTACTAGACATTCCGAAGAGCTGTAAACGGTTAAACCAAGTATTATTTCCAACACGTTTGTGTTTCCCTTGTGACAGACATGCTTCAAAAGCTAATACTTTTTTTCGCCCATACATTTCAAGGAATGAACACTCATTTAAAATGCTTTATTGACATGGGGAACACATACGAGTCTTGAGTGACGATGCTAGATATACGGAGTGAAAATGTGTTGTCTATTACACTGATTCTCAACATACTGACAGGCATTTCAGATCGGTGGCTGAGATTCGATTTGGATATAAACAACCGCTTTCTATTAGTGTAGAGCAATTAATTTCTAAGATAAATAGGTATCCTAAACAGGCGACCACATACTTGGATATTAAAGACTAACACATAGCTGGGAGTTTAGTCATATTAAGTAACGACCTGGGAAAACAGTAGCCTATCCATTGCCATCAGACCTAACAAATCCTCGTCTAAGACAAAAATCCAAAGGAACCACTTAACATACCCAAACGTCGTTCCAATGTTATTTAAAGAACGAGTGGAAGAGCTGGTTTTTTTAGACTTGTGTTTCACGTAACAAAATAGAAGGATCTCACGTAAATCAATGAGTGGTTAAGTAAACTGTCGACCTCATGCTGACTGCTACCCATATACAAAGACAGGTATCAACAGGTCGCTGAGTATGCAGCATATATCTCAGTGATGAAAAGTAGTTTCCTTCTGCTAATTATCCTATAAACGGCCGTAATAAATAGGTTGCAGAACATTCATACGCATTTGCAATGCCTTTTTATATTCAATAATCAACAAAAATATCGCAAAAATAACCGGTCGTAAATCTCCGTTGGCAATCAAGATAAGACAATAATGAAAACGCATCGAACATGTTCAAGGAATTACTAACCCGAAATCATCGTCCAGTGATTTAAAAAAAAATTTCGAATGCGGTCTGTTTAGAGCGTTCTTGAAATCGCCAAGAGTGACTTTTTCTGGAGCAATGTTGAGTTTAACAAGGTAAGGAGTTTCTTCTTCATCGATGTAATATATGAACTTAGTCTCCCCAACCGAAGTGCCGTTGGCCATCGGGAAGAAAATCCGAAGAAGGCCGCCTTGAAAGTACTTTGAGTGAGCTAGTCCAATCTTCAATACTTTGGAAGATTTAGATGACAGTAAAATGTGAATATTTCAGTTATTTGTTTTCAAAAACCTTGGTTCCTTAAGTGCTACAACAGTGATCTATTCGTGTTAGATAAAAAGATATCTTCTCAGTCCTCGGACCAAGAGTTAGCATTACCTGGGATGACTTTGTTCCGCAACGACAGAAAAATAGGAATTGGGGGCGGAGTAGCCATATACATAAGCTCTTGCTTGGAGGTGCACCAGGTTCACAACCTCGAGTTTAACAATCTTGAGGAATCCATATGGTGCTCTGTAAGGTTGTCTAGTACTTCCAGGTGTCTAGTCGGAGTCATTTACAGGAAGCCAACTGCCGACACCGAGTACGATAGTCGTATGCTGGAAGGACTATCCCGCTCTATCCGTCTCGGTTTCACACACATCCTGATTCTAGGGGACTTTAATCTCCCTAGAGTCAACTTCGCGGAACACACGTACACTGGAGGCGACAACTCAACTGAAGCTCGGTTCTTCAACCTCATCGATAACTTGGGCTTATATGAAAATGTGAGGTCGGCAACTCGTTGGAGAAACAGTCAGACACCATCGCGCTTAGACTGTGTATTCACTAACGAAGAATTCCTAGTCGACAACCTCTCAATCCTGGCTCCTCTGGGAAAGAGCGATCATGCCATCATAGCCTTCAATTTTGTCATCAAAACTAAGCTAAGGTATCCCAACAATAATTTGCGTTGGAATTTTAAACGGCTGAATGTGCCAGCTCTACATGACTATCTACAACAGGTGGTTTGGGATGTTCACCCTAAACTCAATGTGAATGGTCATTGGGAATTCTTACTGCACACGCTCTTATGTGCTACAGACCATTCAGTTCCTCAAACGGTTCCCAAAAGCTGCAAGCCACCTACAGTAATCAAGAACCGTACCCTTCGCCTGCTAAGCCGCAAAAGACACTGTTGGGCGGAATACAAACGAACTAATAACGATGGAGCGTATAGGCAATATAAGCATATCAGGAACATATGCACGAAGGCTATAAGAGAAGACAGGCTTCAGTACCAAACAAAGCTTATGGACAAATTCGCCTCTAACCCTAGAAGCCTATTCCGTTACGCAGCCTCTCTTCGTCAAGCCAAAACAGGAGTTTCTCAACTGTTAGGTCTTAACGGCCCGACCAACAACGATGGCGACGCCGCTAACCTTCTGGCGGCCCATTACTCTCAAACATTTCAACCGGCTGACATCAACTTTATTGACGACAGTTTCATCTGCAATTCCACAGGACTTTCTGAAGTGGACCTAAGCGCTGACTTGGTGTTCCGGAAACTGCAGCACTTAAGACTTGACACTTCTCCTGGCCCGGATATGGTTCATCCTGCCATACTGAGGAAGGCAGCCTCAATCCTGGCAACGCCGCTTAGCGTGATGTTTTCACACTCGCTTAGCCGAAGCAAATTACTCGAAAATTGGAAGTTGGCTCACATCACACCAATTTTCAACGGTGGTCGACACAATGAACCTTCAAGTTATCGGCCGGTGGCTCTTCTGTCATTACCTTCAAAACTCATGGAGTCCTTGATATGCGACGGTTTAAACGACTATCTACTGTCCTTAAATTTCTTCTCACCCCAACAGCATGGTTTCAGGAAGGGTTACTCTTGTATAACCAACCTGCTGACTGAGGTGGACAGATGGACAAGCATCCTCGATTGCAAGGGAAAGGTTGATGTCATTTACCTTGATTTCTCAAAAGCTTTTGATAAGGTTAATCACTTGTGTCTTATCAACAAGCTCAAACGACTAGGTATCAAACCACCTCTAATCGACTGGCTTACTTCATACCTAAAAAATCGACACTTTAAGGTTAGGGTTAATTTCACTTTATCTCAGGCTATGGAATGTCCTAGTGGGGTCCCCCAGGGCTCAGTACTAGGGCTTCTTCTCTTCTTGATCTGCATAAATGATCTTCTTCAACAGGTAACGTCAGACTTATCACTTTTTGCCGACGACGTGAAACTTTGGAGAGAGATACGCAACCAAGACGATACACGGGCACTTCAGGAGGATGTGACGCGACTTCAAAGTTGGGCAGACGACAACGGACTTACCTTTAACACTTCAAAGTGTAAAGTAGTCCATCTGCGACATGTCGCAAACTACAGTTATAACTTAGGTACCTCCTCTCTAGTAGTATCCCAAGTCGGAAAAGATTTAGGAGTCCTGGTGCCCCATGACTTAAAGTCTTACGCTAACTGTGACAAAAATGCCTTCCGAGCAAACCTTGCACTGGTAACGTTGAGGCGCATTTTTGGCCAGTTTGACGGAAGAACTTTCCACACAATCTTCAATAGTTTCATCCGTCCCCATTTAGAGTACGGAAACATAGTACTACCCCCTCACTCCAAAAGGACAAGGTCACTTTGGAGCGTATCCAACGGCGAGCCACGAAATCAGTTCGAGGACTCAAATCTAAGCCTTACGAAGAACGCCTCCGTTCACTAGACCTTTACCCACTAGAATATAGGCGTCTTAGAGGTGATTTATTAATGGCTTATAGTATTCTTAACACTTCTGGACATCCTCTTAAACACCTACTTAAGCTTAGTTCGAACACTAACCTAAGGGGTAACACCCAGAAACTGGAAACACAACATAGCAAGACGGAATGTAGACAAAACTTCTACTCCTTAAGAGTTGTCAAAAGCTGGAACTCGCTGCCGAGCGAGCTAGTCCAAGCGACTTCTCAGGAGTCCTTCAAGAGGCAACTTGACCTATTCTTAAGGACCAAGGACAGCATCACACTATGATTTACCAATTTCTTTTCCTCTTTTATTGTTAACATACCTAGGTTCCTGCCTGGAGGATTTCGTGATCCTCTGCTACTAGACACGGAAGCCTGTTAAGCAAAAGCTTCTTCTATTCCGTCCACAACCATTTGAACCATTTGAACCATTTGAAGTTGAAGGCGTGCAATATACGTAAATGTTAAACAGGTATTCGGGGTTTGACAACGCCTTTACATGTTACACATTTATAATCAACGTATGCCAACCCAGTTAAATCAGAAGTCAGAAGTGGAGATTTTCGAAGATACATTTGGAAAGCCATCTATATATAGAGAAGCGTTTGGTTTAAGCCGGCCTGTTAGTTGCAAGGGATGGGTAGCCCATTCGTGATCTAGTGAATATGCGCGATCGAGAGCCTTCAGCTTGATGTGTACAGTAAAATTTATGGGGTCAGAATGAGATTTTGGAGACTTGCAGAGCTATCTATTTTGGCGATTTATTTGCCGCTACATCCTGTTAACCATCCGTTTTCAGTTTTCATTAAGTGTTCCATTAGGTCGAGAATCACTTCCAACCACATAAGGCAGGGTATAAAGGCAAACAGAAAACTCTTTCATACACACTTGTTGAACACTGTGGCCTAAGATCATCATATAATGTGACGAAAGTGGTTTTCAAATGGAAATTGTAAAGATATGTCTGAATAATGCACCGATCTGTAATAACTAAATGTTGGTCATTAAAATTGACGAAGCATAAGGTTTGTAAGATGATTTCTGTCCCGTTAACAATTCTATAGGTGTTGAAGCTAGTTTACTCTTCATCTCTTTGATTAATCCAGTAGATCAAGGAGTTGGCTTAAATATTTTCCGTTTTTCTACAAAACAATCCGTTAAAGTTTGCACAGCCAGGTGCAAGTAGTCGGTATAAATTTATTGAGTCGGGAAAAACGCCTAGTTGTATTGAAGAGTTCGAAAAAATATACTGTTTAATTTTCCTATCTCCTCTTATTTTACTGTCTACAAAATTAAAGGCTTCTGTCGTTTTACCATTGTAGCGGTAAATAAATCCCCAAAATAAATAGCTCTGTAAATCTTCGTTTATAGCATCAGATCATCACTTGCTGGTCGCCAAGAAGAAACTGAAACTCAAGAAGCACTGGACAACGAGGCGGGCAATATCACAAAAGTTCAATACGGTCTTTCTTCAGGACACTGACAAAGTCAACAAATTCAAGATAGCCCTCAGTAACAAGTTCCAGGCCTTTCATTATCTACTCAATGAAGAAGGAACTACTATGGAGAGCAACTGGAAGGGGATCAAAGAGGCAATCACTTCAACATGTCATGAGGTCCTGGGTCACAAGAAGCACCATCACAAGGAATGGATCACTGTTGATACACTGGATAAGATTCAAGAAAGGAGAAACAAGAAAGCAGCAATCAATACTAGCCGAACAAGAGCAGTGAAAGCCAAGGCACAAGCTGAATACACAGAAGTAAACAAGCAAGTGAAGAGGAGCATCAGAACCGACAAACGTAAATATGTGGAAGATTTAGCAACGACGGCGGAAAAGGCTGCAAGAAAAGGAAACATGAGATAACTGTATGACACGACAGAGGAACTCTCTGGAAATCGCCACAAACCAGAACGACCAGTGAAAAGCAAGGAAGGCAAGGTAATCACCAACATTGAAGAGCAACAAAACAGGTGGGTAGAACACTTCAAAGAACTCTTGAATCGACCAGCTCCACTGAACCCAACCAACATCGAAGCAGCATCCACGGACCTCCCAATCAATGTTGGTCCACCAACAATTGAGGAAACCAGCATGGCCATCAGACAAATCAAGAGTGGCAAAGCAGCAGGACCAGACAACATTCCAGCAGATGCACTAAAAGCAGACGTAGCAGTAACTGCAAAGATACTCCACATTCTCTTCAATAAGATTTAGGATGAGGGACAAGTACCAACAGACTGGAAAGAAGGACTTTTGATCAAAATACCAAAGAAAGGCGATCTCAGAAACTGTGATAACTTCAGGGGCATCACTCTTCTCTCAATACCGGGAAAAGTCTTCAACAGGGTATTGTTAAACAGAATGAGAGACTCCGTAGACGCACAACTTCGTGACCAACAGGCAGGATTCTGTAAGGAAAGATCGTGTACAGACCAAATCGCAACTCTACGGATCA